GTCACATCATGTGTTATCTCTCATACATGAATACCTACTGTCAATCTTTAAATGGGTGTGTTTTAATTGGAGACTCCTTAGAGTCTGGCCATGGATGTTTGGGGGAGTACATGGGAGGGGAGATAGAATACAATGATATAATCATGGATAGAACGCATTTAATGGGATGGGGAATGACAGGGGAGGGAAGAAGAAGGAGAAAAGACAAATGTCACATCATGTGTTATCTCTCATACATGAATACCTACTGTCAATCTTTAAATGGGTGTGTTTTAATTGGAGACTCCTTAGAGTCTGGCCATGGATGTTTGGGGGAGTACATGGGAGGGGAGATAGAATACAATGATATAATCATGGATAGAACGCATTTAATGGGATGGGGAATGACAGGGTAGGGAAGAAGAAGGAAGAGAGGCAGGATAACTAACTACAAAGCTCTTTGAAAAACTCATATCGAAACATACTGTTTCTTTCCATACATTCAAATACAATATAAAAAGAGTTTGAATGTAGCTACCCTATAAAGGGCCCTGATAAACATCATGGACTAGCAAATGCAGAGTCCAGTGACAGAAATTGACTCCCTGTCTTGGAATTATTGACCAGAAGGATACAGTAGATCCTCAAACAATACTGCATCTTGCTTTCTCAGAGGAACTTGATGTTAAGTTTCTATTGCTGAAGATAGTATCTTAGTTGCAGAACAAACATGGACAAATCAAGCTGGTGCTGATGTTGAGGCTACATCTCTGTTGTCTAGCTATAATAATACTAGATGGAGTTCTGTGTGTTATTGGCAGAAAAAATTAATCATCAACCTTCACAGCTGTTAGCCCTGTGAGCTACAATAACATCTGGCTTGGCAAAATATGCCCACTAGTACAATAGTTGCATGACTATGAGGGGAGTAAAAAACTACCCTCCATGCTGGGCATAGTAGCATGTGCTTTTAATCCCAACCCTCTGGAGGCAGAAAGAGGCAGATCTCTGTGAGATCAAGGCCAGTCTGGTCCACATGTCCACATAGTAACTTCTAGGGGAGCTGGGACTACAGAGACCCTGTCAAAAAACAAACAACAACAACAAAACAAAAACTATCCTCTAATTGGATTTAAGACTTGCTTCACATTGGGGAGTCCATACCTGACACTATTATGAAGGCTAAGAAACTCTAGCTAGATGGGTTGCAGGCCATCTGGGACAACTTACTACTTATGTTTTGCTAAATAGACATAATATTAAACTGACTTATAGTAATTTCTTGTTATACTCATAGACTGATGTAGCTATCAACTCTCACCATAGAAGGTTCTTCCAACAGCAGATGGCGATTAGCACAGCAACCCATAAATGGTCAATATTCAGAGATTAAGAAACTATGGAATACTCAGCACAGAATGACAACTATATTGCACCCTCTCTTACCAAGGCTCAGGGACCATTGTGGAAGAGGGAGCAGAAAGATTGTAGGAGCCAGAGGAGGTTGATGAATTCAAAGAAACATGTTATATGAACACTACAAGGTAGTTCTGAATATGAACCCACAGCACTTATGACAGCATGCATAAGATATGTGCAAAACTGCTCCATTACAACAACATTATAATTTTCTGAACAAGTAGCCTAATTATGAACTTCAGTTTTTATGAGTAGGCCAGATCTCAGAGGACACTTGTTCCCCTAGATGTCTCTTGGAACTGTCTGTCTCCTGGAAGAGTACTGTTGGAACTTTTGTTGGAACTCTGTACCTGGAATTTTGTGCTCAAGCCTGGCTCCACCCATGATTTTATTCAAAATGATTTCTCCAGCTTCAATTAGGGAAGGACAATCTTGACTCCACCCTAATCTAAACAGAGCATCTGGCCTTTTCATTCCTAGTTCTAGACTATCTCATTCATCCAAGGTCAGTCATCCTTCCCAGCCTCCACTCTGTGCAGTGGAGATGGAGATGAGGTGCTTCCTTTCTGCCCTGTGATGTGCTCATTCTCAGGCATGTTTACCTCCATTCACCGTCTTTTGGGTGGAGTACCCAGGAAACAAAATCAGGTGCCCAGGTCACAAGATACAGGAGCACATAGTTTTGCTGGGGTTAATTAAAGTTATGAGTCCAGACTATGTCCATTTTATAAAAGTCATTACTCTGTGTATGTGTGTGTGTGTAGATGCATGTGTGTGAGGTGTACATATATGTCTGGGTACATGCACATGTGTGTATTCAGGTATACATGTATATATGCATGTAGCATGTACCTGTGTTTGTAAGCTAGATGTCAACCTTGGACTTAGTTCCTCAGGAACCATCCACCTTGTCTTTTGCGATGGTCTCTCATTGTCCTGGAATTTGCTGAGTAGGCCAGGCTAGTTGGCCAGCAAGCTCCAGGGATCCCACTGTATTCCCCTTCTGCTGTGCTCTGATGACAAGCCCACCCCAGCCCACCTGGCTTTTTGTGTGTGTTATGGGTATCGAACTCGGGCTTGCGGGGCAGGCACTTCAACTGAGCTGCTTCCCCAGCCTGGGAGGATTTCTTTTCTTATCAGCTGGAACTATTCACTCTGCACTGATTCCTGTGGAGGCTTGGATGTTGAGCAAAAAAAGGGAAACCCTTTCCAAAAAAAACAAAAAAAAAAAAAAAAAGACAAATAATAATAGAAGACAAGAAGTCAGGGGCTGTAGTATGGCAGGAGTAGATGGGTGTAGAGGTCTGAATATGATCAAAATAAATTATATGAAATTCTCAAATCAATAATAATATGTTACATAGAAAATAATGAAATTACAAAATCACAGGTAAATGTGTACAACTGGAAAAAATCATTCTGAATGACTGAACCCAGACAGACGAACATCACCTGCTTTCTCTCATATGTAGATGTTTGCTTTGAGTCTTTAGACATTAGTGTTTAATTTGGAATACTCCTAGAAGTCAGGCAACTAGTAAAGGGCCATGGGTGTGTGTGGGAGGGGTGCTTTTCAAGGGAAAGGAGATAGAATATAGTGATATAACTGGGAAAAGGCAAATAATGGAAGGGATGATTAAATGGGGTGGGCAAATAGGTGTTTAGAATTGAGGAGGGAATATGGTGAGAGATAACTAACACTAAAGGCCTTTTAAAAACAGTGAACACATTTACACTGAATGACATTTGGGTACAAACATCTGAATGAATAGGACTCAGCATGTATGACAGAATGCATAGGGTTCAGTGAGGGGATAGGGGAAGGCATGGCTGGAGGAGGAGGTCCATATTTGAGTGGGAAATGTATAAATTTAAAAGCTCAATAAAAACTATATATAAACATATATATGTATACAGATAAGCATATATATATATATATATATATATATGCATGGAGAATCAAGTGGGTATAGGCGTGCGGGTTTCACACACCGCATTGCTGTGGGTCTCTGCTACCAGAGCTGGCAGCTCTAGGACCGCTGTCAGCTGCCCGGTCGGGTTCCGTTTCAATTTCCACCATGCACTCTCTCTCTAAGTTTGGACCCGTTGGCCACCAGGTCACGAGGGGAGGTGCCAGAAATGGCAAAAGCAGGGTCTCCATGAGTCGTGATTTATGAAGAGATAGCCCTCTCTGGGAAGGCTGGATCATAGGCAGTAAGACACAGAACTCAGCTCAGTCAGATTCAGTGGTACCGCTCCTTTATTCAGTGACTCAGCTCCGCTCAAGGTCTTAGTGATTCAGCTCCGATTATGAGGGAAAACCAGGATACTTTATACTGTGGGGGTAGTGGTAAAAGCCTTAGCTGATAGGTACTTTGTGGGATGCCCTATTTACATGTAGAGGTGGGCTCCTCCCAAGCTGTCAGACTGCCTGAAAATCACACAGGAAAACCCGGCAGTTTCAGAGCTGGAGGCCATGTTTCTGTGACGGCTACTTCAAAAGATGCTGACGGCTACTTCAAAGATGAGTCAGGAAGAGAATAGGAAGGCACCCTGCTGATAAAAGGAGTCTCTGCATAGAACCCGAGCCCCGTGGGCTATCTGGACATGGAGAGACTGCTACTTTACACAACAGGGGTCCCCAATAAGCTTGCTTGGAACATTCAAGGCCCAGGACACAAATCTCTAAGAGATTGAACCCAGGAACTCTACCACTCAGCTACATCCCGGATCTCTTTTTACTTTTTTTTTTTTTTTCAGGGAGAAAGGATTTATTTTATCTTACATCACTGAGGGAAGCCAGGACAGGAACTCAAGACAGGAACCTGGAAGCAGAGACCACGGAGGAGCGCTGCTCACTGGCTTGCTTCCCTTGGCTTGCTCAGTTACTTTTCTTACATAGTCCAGGCCCTCTAGCAAGAAAATGCCTCACAGAAGCCAAGATAAGACAGGGCCACAGGCCAGTTTGATGTGGGAAAAGTCTTCAGTTGAGGTTCCTTTTTCCCAGGTGACTCTAGTTTGTGTCAAGTTGACAAAAACTTAACCAGCACAGTATTTTTGAATCTGCAGGATTACCACAAATTTAGTGGCCTAAAACAATAAAAGTTTGAATTTTACAGGGCTAGAAGTCTAAAATAACACAGCTAGTTATAAGGGCTGTGTTCCTTAGGTAGGCTCCTGGGAAAAAACCATTTCTTTGATTTTTCAAGCTGCTCACAAGCTTTGGTTTGTGGTCCCACATGAGAACAGCTCTCTTCTGTCATATCTTTCCTGACACTGGATTATTCCACTTTCCTCTTTTAAGTTTCTTTGTGAGTGTCCATGGCCTCTTTTTTTTATTTTGAGACAAGTGTCACTTTGTAATCCAGGCAGGACTTGAGTTTGCGATTCTCTGCCTCAGACTCCTGCACAGCGCCAGACTGAGGGTGACACTAGCAGAGATGATGTCCCTAGGAGTTCGAGTCAGGGAGGCGGTGGCAAGCGAACGCGACACGCCCACCAAAGGGCGTGACCTCACGGACTTACCACGCCTACAATCCCGGAGGCCAGGAGGGGCGGAACAGTGCGGGCGTGTCAAAGCCACGCCATTTCCGCCAGAAGCTCAACTATTCGGCTTCCTGTCAGAGTTGGTCCCGCCAGTCTGGAAGTTGTTTTTATGAGGGAAAGGTCCGCAATAGCTTACCGACAGACACCCTCTGAAGTCCGCCTAAGCGCTTGGTATCAAGAACTTGTTATCAACCCCAATTCGAAGGTGGCTACTGGGGAGAACAGGACCTTTTCTGTTCCGGAACGGAAAACGCGCGCGCACAGGCTGTTTCCGGGGGTGCGCGGAGGCCGGTGCCCTGATGCGTCCCGCCCCTCGCGCGGCCACGTCTTACAGGAGCCCCAGGGTTGGGCCGCACTGGGTGAGGTTCGTGGGGCTGGGGCTGAGGAGGGCCGGTAGAGAACCGCACAGGGGCTCGAGGGACGCTCCCGTGGGCGAGGCCGGGGCAGAGTCGAGGGGTCGGCGCCCGGGGAGGGTGGCAGTGCGGCTTCTGGGGAAGGTCGGGCAGGCGCGGGGTCAGCGGCGGCCAGCTGCAGTCAGCTTTCGTTCTGCTGTTTCTGCCTTGACGTCTGCCTCGCGGCTGGGGTTGGCCTGGTAATTGCTGAGGCTCTCTGCGCCTCACGGCGTGCCGTCGGCCCCGAGAGCATGCGCTACTGCTGCGGGGCCAGCTTGTTTGAAGTCAGGTACTTTTGCGTTGGGTGACTTAACGTGGTGTGGTGACTAGTCCTTAAGTCCGTGGGGCACTCATTGTTTCGATTCTGGTTCAAAGAGGTGTTCCGGAGTGCTGCAGGACATGGATAGTGGAGTCACATAGTAACTAGAGAGCCAGGTAAACAGCTCACTACCTCTTCACAAGCGCTTATTGAGTGCCAGTGGAGTGACAGGCCCTGTTCAGTGCAGTTCTAGGATACAGTAGTGTTGTCTGTCCTCATCACTTTATGGTTGGAGGTACCCAGACAACTCAGCAAGACTGAAAATATTGGATGATGGTTTTGTCAGGCCGGTGGAAGAGGTGAGTTTTGAGTCAAGGCCTCCATGACAACCTTATGTGCAAAATTGTTGAGAGGAGTGTTTCAGGCAGAATGAACAGGAAATGTGAAGATCCAGTGGCGAGTCAGTTGTGTTGCTGGATACATAATATAGTCAAGGTATAATGAAAAAAGGAGGAACCACATAAAAGTGGTTTAAGAATTTAGACTAAGGTTTGTGGTTAATTGTCAGTGGGACATTGTAAACCATTTACAGGTGCCTCATGGCCTTTCCCTTTGTTACCTTTTACAGTTATAGTTATAACTTGAATGAAAAGAAAAGGGGACACTGGATGTGTTGGCACATATCTGTAATCCCAGCTCTTGGGAGGCTGATCACCGGCTTGAGGTTCTGTCTCAAAAACAGGCTGGTGAGATAGCTCAATGGGTAAAGGCACTTGCCATCAAGCCCTGATAACCTGAGTTCTCTGGGAGCGACATGGTCGAAGGAGAGAACCAACTCCCACAGATTGTCATCTGACCTCCCTACACTTGTGGGTGCAGACATCCACCCCCCATCCTCCGCTGAAAAAAACAAGAAAGGAAATAAAAGTCACTTGGTCTTACTCAGATTTAAAAGTAGCCAAACTTTGTTGTTTCGTTTTGTTTTGTATTTGAGCCGGGGTTTCCATGTAGCCCCAGCTGGCTTGGAACTCTCTGTAGATCAGGCTGGCCTCCATCTCATACAGATCTGCCTGTCTCTGCCTCCTGAGTGCTGGAATTGAAGGCATGCCCTACCATGCTCAGCAAAAGTAGCTGCTTTTTTTTTTTCCATTTGTTTTGTTATTTTCTCAAGTGAAACTATAACCTCAGTTGGCTTTTAGTCTCAATTTTGAATAGCTATAAAAGGGAGAATATCAATAATTGTACTTGTTTATCTAGGGCACGGACAATTCCTATCTCTTACAGTAGTCAACCAAAAATTTGTATTCATTGTCTCAGTGTTTTTATTAATAAGTAAATAAGCTAGGGGTGGTTCCAAAATTGGCCCAACAAGATCTTTATAGCTGTGAGAGAAGAGTAAGGATTTGAGGCAAATATGTCCAACTCAGAAGCCTATCATTTACATCCTTGATGTACTTAAGGCTGGCCTTTGGTCTTCACTTATATCAGTACTTTTTACTTTTGTTCACTAGTGTGGCATCGACTTGACTCAGTGTTTGGGAAGCCCGGTTTCTTCTTTGCCAATGCTTTGCTTCTAATGACTGATAGTAACAACCTCAGTAAACGGGCAGGTGGAGCTGTTGTATTTGTGCTAGATTTATGAACTCTTGCCAGGGAAAGCTGGAAGCATCTGAGATTATGGTCTCTCAGTGTGAAGTCTAGATGACAGTGCTAGTGTTAGGTATATCTTCAGAAGTTCTCAATAACAGCCTTGCCCTGCCGTCTAGGAAACATAGGTGTGTAAGTGGTTAAAAATGAAGCTAAACTGGGTGAGGTGGTACATGCCCGTAATCCCAACACTCAGAAATTAGAGGCATCAGGATCTACATGAGTTGGATGCTAGGACTATATATTGAGACTTTGTCTCAAAAAAACAAATTGGGCTGGGGAGATAGCTCAGTCAGTAAAGTGCTTCCTATGCAAGTATGAAGACTTGATTTTCATTCCCAGAACCCATGTGAAAAATCCAGTTGTGGTAGTGTGTACTGGGGAGGCAGAGACAGGCAGATCCCTGTGGCTCGCAGATCCCAGCCAGCATATCCAAATTGGTGAAATCAGGTCAGTGAGAGACACTATCTCAGAAAACAGGATGAATGTGGCACCTGAAGAATGATACTTAAAGGGTGATTTCTGGCCTCCACATGTGTATGCACACATATTTGTACACACACACAGAACCAAACTGAACAATTTGAACAAACAAAAAAACTCAGTAAAAATACTGTAATGATGTGGGGCTGGATAGATGGCTCAGTACTTAAGAGCACTGATTGCTCGTGTGGAGGACCTGGGGTTCGATTCCCAGCACCCACATGGCTGCTAACAACTGTCCATAACTCCAATTCCAGGGGAGTCCAACACCCTCTTCTGACCCCTACAGGCATTTCACGACACAGGTGCACTTATATACATGCAGGCAATACACTCATACACATAAAATAAAAATAATAAAATGCTAAAAAATACTATAATGTGCCAGGTGTGGTGGTGCACACCTTTAATCCCAGCAGAGTCAGAGTCAGGCGGATCTCTGAGTTCAGGGCCAGCTACAGGGAGATCCTGTCTCAGACAAAAAAAAAACAAGAAGAAGAAGAAGAAAAAAACCCAACTATCATGAAGCTGACCTCTATTTAAAAAGAAATCACAACTGTAGTATGTGTTGCTGAAAACAGCTTGTTTATGACAACCCCCCCCACCACCACCCCATCTCTCATCCTCTTCCTTGCTGCCCAGAGACTTCCCTTTGTCAGCAGTCTAAGGTAATGAGACCTTGTATGACTGAGTCATGCTGATCCAAATTCAAGGGAGACAGAATAGACAGTGAATACCATTTTAATTGCCTTTCAGGGAAGACCACTATCAGAAACCCTGCACCTGGCAGAGCCAGGGAATTCTGTCTGTAGTTCAGGAGGAGCTGTTTGTCAATAGGAGCTGTCTTTGTGAGTTAGCCAGTTAGTTGCAGTTGGGGTCCTCTGTTCTGGAGGGCTTTACCATTCCATCTCTGGAGGAAGGAGGAACTGCTTAGGAATCAGCTGTCTTGCTTAGCACAAAATCAGAGTTGGAGGAATTAAGAGTAGAAGATGTAGTAGCCTCTTGCTGTGAGAGCCTGATGCAGTTGTCATGAAATTCACATCAACAGTGGAACCTGAATATTCTTGACTAATGTTCATCTTTCATGGACAGTCTAAGTAGTGGGCATTATCATTGTTTACCTCTGAGGCACATTCTCTCTGGGACTCCTCGGATGCCCTCTTCTTTGTATTCATCCTGTACTAGTCCTATTTTAGTCATTGACTGTGTTTGTACACTGAGCTCTGCCTGTCACTGGTGGGTGACCAGTCACAGATGACAGATGGAGTCAGAGACATGTGTCTGCAGTGACAGGTGTCAGTATACCAGCCCTGTTGTTGAGTCAGCATCACACCTTATAAGTTAAGCACCATCCACTTGGGTTTCTTACCTGCAATTTCTTAATGTGATTCAAAATATTTATTTATTTTTTTGGAGACAGAGTTTCACTATGTAGTCCTGGCAGGCCTGGAACTTGCTGTGTAGACCAGACTGGCCTCAAACACAGAGATCCACCTGCCTTTGAGTGCCAGGATTAAAGGTGTGCCACCTCAATGTGATTTGTAAGGTAGGAATGTAGATTGTCATGAAACACATTAAGCATAGAATAGAACGTATGATAGTGTGAAACTTATACTAGAGGACATAGATGCTAACATTCCCACGGAATACCTAGAAGCTCATATTAGAATCTTACTTGTTAATAAGAAAAGGAGTTAATAGTACCATCAGCTCAGTTCAGAATTGATGACTAACTGCCCAACTCATGGTAAAGTTATCTTCCCTTAAACTTACTTTCTAGGCTCTCCTTTCTAAGTTAGCTGCCTTTCTGTGTGTGCTTGGATCTCTCTAGGATCCCCCACACAGTGTACTAATTACCCCATCCCTTAGCAGTTGCTTCTTTAATTTTCATTCCTCTTTTAAAAAAATATTTTTTTTATTTATTTTATTATTTTTTTGGTCTTTTTGAGACAGGGTCTCCCTGTAGCCCCAGCTGTCCTGGAACTCACTATGTAGACCAGGCTGGCCTTGAACTCACAGAGATCTGCCTGCCTCTCCCTCCCGAGTGCTGGTATTAAATGCGTGCACTACCACGCCTGGCTTTATTTATTATTTTTATTTTATGTGCATGAGTGTATTGCCTGCATGCATGCAAGTACAACTGTGTCGTGAAACGCCTGCAAAAGTCAGAAGAAGGTATCAGATCCCCCAGAACTGAAGCCATAGACGATTGTTGGCCACCATGTGAGTGCTGGGAATCAAACCCGGGTCCTCTACTGGAGCAGTCTGCACTCCCACACACTGAGCCATCTCTCCAGCCCCAATTTTTATTCCTGCGGATCTGAGCTACACACCGTGGAGTTGTCTGATAGGAGCGAAGGCCTTGGGCATGGTCATTCCAGGTGTTCTATGAGCATCTAGGCCTGTCTAGTTCAGAAGCTGCTGGCTACAAATAGCTATTTAATTCAAATTAAATTTAAATAAGATTTGGGGCTGGAGAGATGGCTCAGTGGTTAAGAGCACTGACTGCTCTTGTACACTTACATACATGCAGGCAAAGCATTCATACATGTAAAATAAAAATAATTTTAAAAAGTACTGTTCCTGGGGCTGGAGAGATGGCTCAGCAGATAAGAGCACTAACTGCTCTTGCAGAGGACCTGAGTTTGATTCCCAGCACCCACATGGAGGCTATGAACCATCCTTAACTCCAGTTCCAGGGGAATCCGAAGCCCTCATCTGACCTCCGCAGCACTGCACAACACAGGTGCACTCACATGCAGGCAATACACTTTCATAAAATAAAAATAATATTTTTTAAAAAAATTTAAATAAGATTTAAAACTCAGTTCCTGGGGCTGGGAAGATGGCTCCGCAATTATGAGCACTGGCTGCTCTTACAGAGAATCTGGGTTCAGTTCTCAGCACCCACATGGTAGCTAACAACTGTTCTTGACTCCAATTCCAGGGGATCCCATGCCCTCCTCTGGCCTCTGCAGGCATTGGATAACTTTGGTACACTTACTTGCATGAAGTAAGACACTCATACGTATAATATAAAGTAAAATTAAATAAAAATTAAACTCAGTTCCTCAGTTGCCACATGGACAACAGATTACAAGCTTCTTTATAACCTTGGAGAATCATTCATGGTAGAACTTCCTTTGGCTGGTACCAAAAGAGACACTGTGCCTTAGGGAAGGGCCCAGCCATGACTGGGTTAGCATTTTACTCTCAAAATCTAGAATGTTTTAGATGCTCAAGGATTATTGTGGAATGGAAATCTGTATTCTCTATATTAATACAAGTTGGGAGCTAAATGTTAATTTTGTAATTATTTCTTGAAATCTAACAAATGAAGTTTTGTAATGCATTTTTTTTTTCTTCTTCCTATTAGGAATCATGATATTGCTTTGTTTTACTTCAAGCCATTTGTGAGACTTTAAACCTTACCCTGAAAATGAAAAACAGAGTAAGGTCCTTCCTAGGAGCTCTGTGCTGTTGCTGATGGCAGAAACCAAACTTATCCCAGAGCCACTTGTAGCTCCTCAGAGTCGTCTCAGTCTAGGCTGCCCTGACCATGGATGGCGGATCAGCACAGCAGGATGGCCTCTGGGAAGACAGATCCAACAGTGGCATCTCAGCTTGCCCCAAGGCCCCTGTGGAGACCCTGGACTCACTGGCACAACTGCCAGAGCAGCCAGATAAAGCTCAGTGTAAGTGATCAGGTTATTCTGTGCTCTTGTGTTTCAGTTTGAGCAAGAGGATGTGGTCAGCTGGTGTTTTGAAAGAGAAAATGAACTTTGATTATTTCAAAGTGATTTAGTACTAACTTTAGATCAAGTACCATTTGTATTCAACAGAATAGGAGCCACCTGGCTATGTACGATGAACAGTGGCAGAGCTGCTTCCTGAAGACTTTTGTGAGTCTCCACTGCCATGTTATTCTTCTTAATTGAAATTCTACCTTTTTGGTTGATTGGTTGCCAGTTTTATTAACTGGAATCCATTAGTGGTACAGCAGAGATCTAAGGATTCCTGAATCATGATTCTGTGTTGACTGCTGAGTTGTTTGCACATTAGTAACAATCACTTGGTTCCCATACCCCACAGAGTTAGGAACTAGCAATGCAGTATGCTCTTTAAAATGGTAGATTATTATGTCTAGTTTGCTAGCAGAAATTACATTCTAGGTCTTGCAAAATGATGTTTAAGCAGTTAACATGAAGCAGGTGAGTCAGGTACTGGCATTCACGCCTGAGACAGTGGATTCTTGAATCTGACAGACACAGAACCAAATCTTAGAGCTAACACTCAGGAAGATTCATGGGACCTACATCATAGGGTGTGAGGATTAAAGAAGTAATGCACATAACATCTCAAAGGAGCTAGGGTGTGGCTAAGAGGTAGAAAGCTTCCTGCATACCTGAAGCCTGTGTTCAGTCCTAGCTGCTCAGCATCCAGTAAGTGGATTTGGCCACTTTTGTGATCTGTTCATCCTTAAGTTTATCCATATTTAAACTTAGTTTGGAAACATTGAATCTTTTTGCTCATAAATTTCATTTAAGGTGTGGTATGATGCTCAAAACTCACTTTGTTTAGCAGTCAACACGTCAGAAAGTGGTATTAACCCCTTGTAACTTGTACCTGAAATGCAGGACCCCTGTATTCCTTAAGGGAACGATAACATGGGGCCATCTGTGTCCCAAAGCAGATGTATCTTAGACACTGAAGATTTCTGTGCTCTACCTTCTGCTTGTGGCTTTCTTTACAAAGAGACCTGTGAATCAGGAACTACATTAGCAGGAACTCACATTTGTAAATAATAACCCACTTTTACTTGGCTTGACCAAAAAGGAAATTTCCTGGATGCATTCTGGCTGTATCTTGATACCCATTGGTTTTGTTGCCTGTGAGAGCTCAGGTCTCTGAGCTTGAGAATTCCTCAGGTCCTTCCTCACTGTTGATTGGTTTATCCATTACAGGGAGACAGGAAAAAGACTGAAAGTAACTTGAGTGTTCCTCACCCTTTGAGAAGGAACTATGTTTTAGGTCTTTGTATAATAATGGTAGGAGATAAGACTTAAGTTTGCATGAACAGAGTCCTTGTAGGCCAACTTGGGCTTTATATTTTTTTAGTGTTTTTGTACTGTCTGATGTAGCCCAGGCTGACTTCAAACTTGCTACATAGTTGTGCTAAGATTATAGGCATGAGCTACCACACCTTACATGTGAAATTGGGTTTTTATAAAACCTAACCTTTGCCCTCCAAGCAAAAGCAAGGCTTGGATTCTGCTCACCTCTGCAAAAACCACTCTGACTAGATTGCCTGCCTCTTTGCCTTAGGTTTCTCATTTTAGAGTGTGGTTTGAACACACTTACTTTGGAACTAGCTCTTGAGAATGTGAGTCTGGACCCTGGTTAGCCCTGCTGTTACTTGCACATGTTAGAAAAATTGTCGGCTTAATTTTGAGCTTTTTTCCCCCCTACTTAAAAAAAAAATAGATTTTTCAAAGTTTTTTTTATTATTATTACTATTCTTTAAATGGTAAAGAAATGTGTTAAATTCCACAGCCATTGTGTGGAGGGTGAGGCCAATTTACAGGTGAGGACATGAGACTTTGCCCCACACGTCTCCCTGCCCTATGATAGAAGTATGGTGCTTGCTCCTTGAGAGTCAGGGAGAACAGACTTGTAAATTGTGGGAATGCTCCTGTTCATGGGACTTACATAGTTGTAGATCAGGAAGTAACTCAGACTTATTCAAACCCCTGTGTCTAACACACTTGCTCTCTCTTTCCAGGTGCCAGTGTTGAGGTTAACAGAGTTTCTAGGGAAGGAGGAACCCCGGATAGACCCAGCCAGGAGGCCCTCTGTCAGAATGGGCCAGCACCGCAGCTTCCAGACTCTCCATTGTCTCTTGATCCCACAACAAGCCCAGTGGGTCCTGATGCCTCTCCAGGTGTGGCTGGTTTCCATGACAACCTAAAGAAGTCTCAGGGAACTAGTGCTGAGGGCAGTGTTAGAAAAGAAGCTTTGCAGTCTCTCAGACTCAGTCTTCCTATGCAAGAAACGCAACTGTGTAAGCATCCGTTCCCTCTGGATTCTTTCCACTTCTTCCTGTCAGCATCCTCAGCTTCCTATCAGTGCCTGACCACTCCTGTCTGAGCAGTCATGACCTTGCCCTGTGTCATTTTAGTACTGAGTGGGAAAGGCAGAGGGATGCATCTTAACAATGTAGCTTCCCTTTAAAGAATGCAAGTACACCTTGGATATTGGAACTTTTTGCCATCTGGTACTAGTAGTGGTGCCAGAGTCCCTGACAAAAGACCACCTCACATGTCCTTCATGGGTGGCTGACAAACAGGCAGGGGTTTAGTTTTAAGATAGTCTTAGTTATACTTGAAGGTGTGCATTTATGCATTATTATTTTTATTTTGTTTTGATACAGGGTCTCACTTTGTATCCCTGGCTGGCCTACCATTTGTTACGTAGACCAGACTGGCCTCAAACTCAGAGATCTGCTTGCTTCTGTCTTCTGAGTGCTGGGATTAAAGGAGCGCACCACCATGCATGGCTTATTTTGGGTTTTTTGAGACAGGATCTCACTATGTATCCCTGGCTGGCCCAGAACTCACTATGTAGACCAGGCTGGCTGTAGCGAATTCCAGGTCAGCCAGGACTGCAGGGAGATCCTGTCTCAAAAAACCCAACCCAAACAAACAAAAGAAAACAAAAGGGATGTTAAAGAGATGGCTCAGCAGTTAAGAGCACTTACTGTTCTTGTTGTAGACCTGAGTTTGGTTCCCAGCTCTCACATCAAGCAGTGCCTGTAACTCAAGTTCCAGGGGAATCTAATGCCTTCTCACATCCACAGACACCTGCACACACATGTGCACACATACAGACACACATGCATATACATAATTAAATTAATCTTAAAGTGGGGTTCTGTTGTTCACATGTTTTTGCACTACAAAACTACTATAGCCAGAATCCTGGTACATGTATCCTTGTCTTTGAGCTTGCTTCTCTGTGGGCTAAGCAGGTCTTACTGCTGTCCCACATAGTTGTATTGCCACACCACAAGTGACCTGTGAAGACACTTTCCCTCACTGTAGACACTCTGATTTCTTTAGTTTTAAGGGTTTTTGAGAAAGGGTCTTGCTATGTAGCCCAGGCTGTCCTTTAACTTGCCATATAGGCAAGGTTGGTCTTGAGTTTATAAACCTCCTGCTTCAGTCTTTTGACTGGTGGGATTACAGGCTTGCACCCACTTTTGTTAGTTTTGTTAGTTTTTGTTCCCAGGCTAGAAGCTCAAGTGATCCTTGTACTTAAGCCTTCCAAGTAATTGAGATCTCAGGCATGTGCCACCAAACCCAGCATCTCATTTTTTCATATATGACTATGGTATGATGATTCATTGTTACTTTAATTACCAAAGGATTTCAGTATCTTTTTATCTGTTTTGGCCTTTCAGACATTCTTTTCTGTAAATTGTGTTTAGACATTTTTCTATTGTATTATTTGCCTTATTCTTTACAGGCATTATTTTGGCTGTGGTATATTTTTTAAAATTTCTGAAAACTGTTGCCAGTATTTAAGTCAAGAGATGTTAAGTGGACTGATGATAACTCAGTGAATAAAGGTGCTTGTTAACCAACAATGCAAAGCCCGATGACCTGAGTTTGATCTTTAGAATCCATGTAAAGGAGGAAGGAAAGGACCAACTCTGCAAAGTTGTCTTCTGACCTCCACACTCATGCCACAGCATGTCCTCCTACACAAACACATCACTCACACAATAAGAATAAGTAGATTAATTAATTAAATAAATTTAGGTCTGGTGAGACCCTAAATTAGTTCATTTCTCAGGCCCCAAATGGTGGGAAGAAAGAACCAACTCCCACAAGTTGTCCTCTGACTTCCACATGTGTGCCCTGGCACATGCATGTCCCCTCCTTCCCAATAAACCATAACACTTCTCCTGATGTTAGGACAAAGCCACAAACTCATTCCTGGTGAGAATGGCTGTCTTGGGTTTGCAATTGCAGTAACTTTGGGTTGTCCAAAATAAAAAGTTTGGGTTTTAAACTGGATATGGTGGTACACACATTTAATCCTAGTACTTGGCAGGCAGAAGCAGGTAGATCTCTATGAGCTCAAGCCCATCCTGGTCTGCATAGTGAGTTCCACGTTAGCCAGAGCTGCATAGTGAGACCCTTCTCAAAAACCAAAACAATCAAAACAACATAAAAGTTGGGTTTTAGACTTTTTTTGGTTAAAAAGTTTCCATGTATGCTTCCTATCCTTGAGTATGACTTCTGGATTTGAGATCATTTTTTAGAAATATCCTGCTCTTGGCAGCCATCACAGGCAGAGCCTGCTAAGTCTTCACTTGGCACTAAGTGCTGAAGCTAGGCTAATTAGTCATTTTATTCCTTAAATCGACAGTGTCTAAACACTGCTAATTTGGTTACGTATGCTCTTAATTTTATGTAGTGTTATAATGAGACTTTTGACAGCACCAAGTGATAAAAGCTTTGGATGCAATTGCATAAGAAAATATGTGCTATTATCATTGATCCCATTGGCCATCACTGACTGTGTTCAGTTCATGTGTTCTGCTCAGGGAGCTGATGAACATCCTCTATGGAGCCAAGGCATAGTCACAGCCCACCAGAGCTAAGGGACCTGATCCTCTGAGCTCTTAGTCTACTTAGTCCTAGCAACAACTTTGTATCCATTCTTTTTCTTATTTAAAGGCACTTATCTCCTGTCTCCTGTTTTGCAAGATGAAAATTCATCATGGGTAGTAATTGCAGTGTGAACAGAGGCCTGTCATGTGGCATGGGCTGCTTATAGTGGCTGTGACTCGTTTTCTCTCAATTTGGAATTTGTCATGGAATATAGGTGGTCATGCATGGCAAGCTAAAACATTGGTGATTAAATGTAAAACAACCAAGCTGTGAGTACCAACTTGTTTTCTGCGCCCTGCTCCCTATGAACCTCTCAATGGCCATTTCCCCTACAGGTTCCACTGCCTCTTCACCTCCTTTGGAAAAGGAGGAACAGGTCCGACTTCAGGCTAGGAAGCGGTTAGAAGAACAACTGAGACAGTACCGAGTGAAGCGCCAGCAGGAGAGGGTAAGTCTCCTGGATGGGAGTCTGGGTTGTACTCTTTTGAGTTCTGAGCAGTTTGGGTCCTCTAGCACAAAGAACATCACGTCCTTGTCTGCATCTGCATTGACCAGTGCCCAGTTTCTCTCCCCTTCCCTTTTTTTTTTTTTTTTTTTTTTTTTTGAGACAGAGTCTCCCTGTAGCCACAGCTGGCTTGAAACTGGCTATATAGACCATGCTGGCCTTGATCTCACAGAGAGTCACTTGCCTCTGCCTCCCAAGTGCTAGGACTAAAGGCATTTGCCACCATGCCTGCCAAGCATCCTTTGTGTTTTTCTACCTGTTGGTTGTTCATTTGTATGTTCAACTGCAACACTGGGATGTTTCTTAACCCCATCCTACCTCTTCCCTACCTTGGCACTACATTAATTTGGTAGAATGATAGTATTGAATTTTTCCTTTAAGAGAAAGTTATGCTAACATAACAAAAGGCAGAGTTTACTTTACCTTGAATCTTAACCATGGCTGGTTTGGAATTTCTGGCTCACACATAATGTAAGAAAAAGAAGAGAGCCAGGCACGGTGATGTATGCCTTTAGTCCCAGCACTTGGAAAGCAAAGGCAGGTGGATCACTGTGAGTTTGAAATCAACCTGGTCTACGTAGTAAGTTCTAAGTCAGCTGGTACTACATGGTGAAACTTTGTCTCCAAATATCTAACTAAATAACTAGCTAACTAACTAACTAACTAAGTAACTAATGAAACATCAACAAACAGAACTGGTTTTATTTGCAGGTTGATAATGCCTTAGAAGACTGCAAAGAATCAGGGGAAAACAATTATTAGATCAAATTTGGTTTAGAAAATTGTCAGTTTATTAATACAGTTTATTAATGTGAAACCTCAGTAGTTAGTCCTGCCATGATCAGTTATAAAATCAGTTGGAAAAGATAGTTTATAGAAAATGATAAACTATCTGGAATTAAAGTGGTAATAAAAAGTATTTAAAATTGAGCAAGATACCATATAACTGGGCCTTGTTGTACAGTTCTAATCCCAGTACTTGGGAAATGAAGGCAGGAGAATCATGAGTTCTAGGCCATGAGACCCAGCTCAACATCCCCCTCACCCCCTAAGAATACCGTATCATGTCTTTGCTGAGGTATATGCAAGCAGATATGAATGGAGGGAGACCGCTTATTGTCTCCTGATTATGGAATGCTAAGGTAGTTCAGTTCAGAAAGGTCTGTTTGGGGTTTTTTGTTTTTGGGAAGAGGGTAGTTGTTTTTGTGTGTGTGTGTTTTTGAGACCTGGTCTCACCATGAAGTCCTGGCTGGTCTAGAGCTTACTGTGTTGATCAGATTGGCCTTGAATTCACAGAGCTCCTCCTGAGTGCTGGGATTAAAAGTGCGAGCCACCATACCCACTTGGACTGTTTTTGTAACTTGAAAATTTTTATGTGTATCTAAAAAACTAAACAGGCTGGGCATGGTGGCACATGCCTTTAACCCCAGCACTTGGGAGACAGAGGCAGGCAGATCTCTGTGAGTTTGAGGCCAGCCTGGTGTACATAGTGAGTTCCAGGCCAGCTGGGGCTACTGGGAGACCTTGTCTCAAAAAAATAAATAAAAATAAATAAATAAATAAACAAATAATAAAATAAAAAACTAAACAGGAGATTAGCCTGAAAAGTTTTTCCAAGAAAGTGTGATGAGAAGAACTTGCCATGACAACCCATTTTAAAATGTTTCAAAGTAATGGTCATTAAAGGGTATGCTTGAAGCCAAGGGATAGTGAAGTCTGGTCACTCAGTGTGACCCCTAGTGGTGAGAGACTGAGATTAGCAGATCTGTTGCACCCAATGTGGCCTGGCAAACTGTTCATCTGTAGAGGGATTGTTCATTGGCACACACTTTCTGGATGATAATCTTAGAATACTGCTTGCTAATCAAAGACATATTTTTACACCTTTGTTTCCTTCTCAGTCCAGTCAACCTGCAACAAAAATGAGACTTTTTAGCACACTTGATCCTGAGCTCATGTTAAATCCAGAAAATTTGCCAAGGGCCAGTACTGTGGCTATGACAAAAGAGTATTCCTTCCTGCGTACCAGTGTTCCTCGGGGGCCCAAGGTGGGCAGCTTAGGGCTGCTAGCACAACCTAAGGAGAAAAAGAGTTCCAAGTCAAGCAAGATTCGGTCTCTGGCTGATTATAGAACTGAAGATTCAAGCGACTCTGGTGGCCTTGGATCCACTGCTGATGCTATTGGAGGTTCCCTGAAGCAGAGTAGAAGCAGCACTTCAGTTGTGTCTGAGGTTAGCCCATCTCCTGAAACTGATAGCCGCATAGAGAATGCCTCCCTGACTGGGGATAGCGTGTCTGAGGCTGATGGAAATGAAAGTGACAGCTCCTCACATAGCAGCTTCTCCATGCAAGGGACCTCACGTATCCTAGTGAATGTGGGCACACCAGGAGCTGCTTACATGATCGATGGCCAGGAGATTACTGCTGAGGCCCTGGGGAAATTTCCCTCGATTAAGGATGTACTTCAGGCTGCAGCAGCCCAACACCAAGATCAGAGCCAGGAAGTCAACGGGGAGGTGCGGAGCCGCAGAGACAGTATTTGCAGCAGGTATGGCAGCAGTCTAGCCTGGGCTCTTGGCCACTGCTGTGTGCCCTATGTCTTTCCTAATGCCACCCCTAATCTTCACATTAGCAGTTTACCTACATGCAGCTCTGTAAGAAGTAGAGTCTGCTTTAAACCACTTGTGTGGGATGAAAATTGCCCTCTTGGGGCTGGAGAGATGGCTCAGCAGTTAAGAATACTGACTGTTCTTGCAGAAGACCCAGGTTTGAATCCCAGCACCCACATGGCAACTAACAACTGTCCGTAACTACAGTTCCAGGGGATCCAACAGCCTCTTCTGTCCTCTGCGGGCATTGCATGACATGGGTGCACTTACCTACATACAGGCACTACACACGTACACATAAAATATCTTTTTTAAAAAATAATAAAATTAAAAAAGGAAATTGCCCTATCTTCCCATGTTTATACAGACCGGTCTCTTAAGGCTGCCTAGATGCTCAGAGGTCCCTGTTTTCTAGAGCATGCTTTAGCATGTGACAGCATGCTGTGAGCAGCCATGCAACCTGACCTCCAGCTAACTCCTTCAGGCTTTTTTTCTTTTTCTTTTTCAATTTGGAGGAAAGCTGGGTGTTGGTGGTGCACACTTGTGTGTAATCTCAGCACTCAGGGGCTGCGATAGGAGGATCTTAAGATCAGTCTGGGCTACATAGGCAATTTCAGGTTAACTTGGGCTGGTAGAAGACTCTGTCTTTAAAAAAAAGAAAAGAGCAAATTAAAAAATACTGGGGGAAATCCTTGTGTGGTAGTGCACACTTTTAATCCCAGCATTTGGGCAGCAGAGACAGAGGCAGGTGGATCTCTAGGATCGAGACCAGCCTGGTTTGCATAGTGAGTTCCAGGCCAACTAAGACTACAGGGAGACCCTGTCTCAAAAAAAAAAAAAAAAATTCAGGGGAGCAGAAAAGCATGTGTAGAAATCAGTAAGAGGTAGGGTAAAGGAAGATTAACAACCGTTATGTTCTCACCTCCTGACCTTATACTTTGTCCCCCAGTGTGTCCATAGAGAGCTCTCTTGCTGAAACGCAGGATGAAATGTTGCAGATTCTTAAAGAAAAAATGAGGCTTGAAGGACAGCTGGAGGCTTTGTCATTAGAAGCCAGTCAGGTAAGGGATGTCTGATTGTTGTTTGATGATCCAAGTCTTTGAAAAGAATGTGTGGTTCTTCACTGTATATACTTTTACAGATACCCTTAAGTATAATTTGTGTCAGCACAAGCCAGATTGTCTGCTTGGTGTATTGACTCCACACAGAGTTGTACTAATTTATTTGTGACTTAGTTTCTCCCTTTGTCTCCATTGGGATTTGCCAGGAACATATGCTGAATGTTAGGTCCTGGGAGTAAAAATATTTTTAAAGATTATTGGGAGCATATCCCATGGAACTCATGTGGTGTTCAGGGGATAACTTGTGGGAGTTGGCTTTCTTCTTCTACCTTGTGGGTTCAAGAATCAAACTTAAGTTTGTCAGGCTTCACAGCAAGTATCTTTACCTACTAAGCCATCTTGCTGGCCTATGTATTGCTTCTTCTGATATTAACTTTGCTATATCTGGTTTTTATTTTGAGGGCTAGAGAAATGGTTCAGTATAAGAGCACTTGCTGCTCTACCAAAGGATCCAGGATTGGTTCCCAGCACCTACATCAGGTGGCTTACAACCACCTGAAAACTTCAGCTCCAGAGGATGCAAGGCCTTCTGATCTCTGTGGGCACCTGTACACGCATGCACATACACACATTCAGTCATATACATACACATAAATAAAATAAAATAAAATCTCTTTTTTTTTTTTTTGTCTTTTTGAGGCAGGGTCTCCCTATGGTCCCAGCTAGCCTGGAACTCACTATGTAGACCAGGCTTACCTTAAACTCATAAGAGATCTGCCTGCTTCTGCCTCTCAAGTGCTGGGATTAAAGGCATGAGCCACCATGCCCAGTAATAAAATAAATCTTTAAAAATCATTTTTCTCTCTTTTCAGATTTTGTTTATTGTTTTGTGTGCTTTTGAGGGGCGGGGGGAGACAGGATCTCATGTAGCCCAGCTGGCCTTGAATTTGATTCTGTAGCTGAGAATGACCTTGAAATCTACCTTTTAAGGACTGAGATTAGAGGTCTGAGCCAACATTTGTGGATTGTTTTGTGTGGTTTTTTTTTTTTTTTTTTTCAAAAGCAGTGAACTAGATTTTTAATCTGTCAACAGAGAGTAAGTCTATTTAGGGGAATTCAACTGTATGCTTTGTGAGGGGAAAATACACACACAGAGACCACAAGAGGCCTGACCTGAGGCTCTGGGTACAGGCCACAGGATGAGGGCAGTGGTTGAGACTGTGTGTGGTTAGATGAACTTGTTTTCCTAAAGACAAGCATAAAAGAGAGGGAGGGAGGGAGAGAGGTATCTATCTTCAAAGGTGATTTCAGAGATTTTTTTTTTTAAGGGTATTTTGGGTTGTATACAATTTTCTATACCTATCAGGTCCATTTGTGTTTCCTCTGTATATTCAGGTTTGTGATCTAGGCTAAGTGCCTTCACTCTAGCATGCACAAATCCCTGGGGTCAGTCTCTAGCACTGCAAATAAATAAAATCCTATTGAGTTTTACTGATTCAGTTCAGTTCCTTTGGGTCTTTGTTTGGCCTGTCAAACATGTTATTTTTACAACGTTAATTTTTCCTTAGTTTGTTGAGTTTTTGGTTCTACACATAGCCCTAGATAAACTTATAGTGAACAGAATGTGCTAGTTAGTAACTGTGACTTTTTTTTGTCTTTTTCATTTATTTTTCCCTTTTTTGTGGTGCTAGGGATTAAATTCGGGTGCTGGTTCATACTAAGCGAGCACTCTACCACTGAGCTCAGTCCCCCAGCCCTTATTTGTCTTCTATATAGCTCCTGGGGCCCATTTTCTCTTTCTGCTGTCCTGTGAGCATTGCTGCTGTAGTCACTCAGGGCTATTCCTGTATCTATGTATGGCTTAAGCCCTTGGAATCTCCCTTTCATAACAGCAGCATTTTCCTGCAAATGCTTTGGACCCATTTTCCTGATTGATCAGAGTCTGACTGCTTTTATTTCTTAGGGATCTCTCAACTTGTCTGGTATTTGGGTGGAGGTAGGGAATGGAGGGAGCTAACTCACATAACTGAATGACTGGATTGTCTTTATTTTATTTTATTGTTTTGTAGCCCTCGCTGGCCTGGAACTTACTACGTAGACCAGGCTGACCTTGAACTCATAGAGATCCACCTTCCTCTGCCTCCAAGTGCTGGGATTAAAGGCATGTGCCACCATCCCCAGCACTAGGTGGTCTTTGAATAGAGTGTTTCACAAAACACTTGGTTTTCTCTGTCTCACTGATTATGTTTCAACAGTCTCATTAAAACACTGGATGGGAGTGGCTTATTTTTCTGAAAGCCATTGTTTTATTTGGGGGTATTTTCAGGCGCTTCAGGAAAAGGCTGAGCTTCAGGCCCAGCTTGCTGCCCTGAGCACAAGGCTACAAGTGCAGGTGGAGCATAGCCATAGCAGCCAGCAGAAGCAGGACTCCCTCAGTTCTGAAGTGGACACCTTGAAGCAGTCTTGCTGGGATCTGGAGCGAGCCATGACTGACCTACAGAACATGCTGGAAGCTAAAAATGCCAGCTTGGCATCCTCGAACAATGATCTGCAGGTGGCAGAGGAGCAGTATCAGAGGCTGATGGCCAAAGTAGAGGACATGCAGAGAAACATCCTCAGCAAGGACAATACAGGTGAGGTCCTCAGCCCAAGTGTGACTTCTGAAGTCTGTGACTGGTATCATGTGAATGAAGCTTCAGGATCACAATAGCTTAAAATTAATAGAGTCTCTGCTAAAGTAAATAGAATTTTGGTTGAACTCCTGAGATTTTTGTACATTTTTTTATGAGGGATGTAAACTAAGATCTCAGAGATTAACTTTGGACCTTTGAAGATCAGAAGTTATTTCTTTCTGCCCCCTAAATCAATGTTATTTGGAGGAGTGGAGCTGTGATTTTTTTATTCTACATTTATTCCTGGCAATTTTAAAAGCTATCTAAAATATTTTAAAACAAGGCTGGAGAGTTGCTCAGTGGTTAAGAGTACTGGCCGCTCTTGAAGAGGACCCAGGTTCAGTTCCCAGTACCCATATGGCAACTAACAGCCATCCCTAATTCCAGTTCCAGGGTATCTCACTTCCTCTTTTGACCTTTGCTGGCATTGCATGACATGGCATACTTATATACATGCAGACAATACACATAAAAATAATAAAGTGTAAAAAATATTTTAAAGCAATGCCTGTATTATTGATTAGTGACCATCTGTTCAGTGTGTTGGTCTGTAACTCTCCAGGGCTTACCTAGAGAATTATAAGAAACTGACATATGGTCATAGAGAGGCTCTGTTTTCAGGCTTCAATTGAGCCAAACCCTGACACCCATGGACACTGCGAGGACTCCTGCCTGTACTTAGTATGTTATTTGAAGAGGAAGGAGGAAGAAAGGGTGAAAGTGAGGTGGGGAGATTGAAGACAAGGCCTTAAGACACAAAAGAACAGGCTTCTCAGGCGAGGCTCTTGTCCAGGTCTGTGAAGGGCCATGTCTGCAGCCTTTCTGTGGCTGGGATGCCCATCACATCTAATGACTTGAAGGAGAGTGATAAGCAGCTATTTCAGAACCTCAGTTCCAACACTAGAGCAGAGAAAAATCCTTCTGCATAAAAAAGTTCTTTTAATTGCTATAAAATTTTGTCTTTGAGCGTTTTATGATGCCAAGTCTCTTAGGGAAAAAATTCCAAAAATTTATAAACATGCTAATTTTGTTCCTTTGGGGGTTGCATGACCTCACTGAACCAGTGCTCCTTGGGGAGCAGAATGGACTTCATATGAGCTCCTGAATGTGTCTACTACAAAGGCTCCTGCACTGAGCTGTAGCCTACCAGCCATGTGTGATTTGGGTGTGGGACACTGTTGCCATTCTGAGTTCTCACTACTCTGGACTTGAACCTCTATGGATAAGGGATCACGAACTCAATTAAAACAGTCTTGGGACTGGACAGATGGCTCAGCAGTTAAGAGTGTTGGCTACTCTTGAAGAACACCCTGGTTCAATTCCCAGCACCCACATGGCAGCCAACCACCACCTCTAACTCCAGTTCTAGGGGATCCAACATCCTCTTTTCACCTCCTCGGGCATTGTAAGACATGGGTGCACTTACACACATGCCGGCAATATACTCATACACATAAAAAGTGTTTTAAAAATCTTAGTGCCCACCCCCCTTTGTCTTTTTATGACAGGGTCTCATGTAGCTCAGGCTAGCCTTGGACTTGCTATGTAGCTGAGGATGACCTTGAACTCTTGATCTCCTGATTCCCCTCTCCAGAGTGCAGACAATAGGCTTGTGCCGCAATATCTGGTCATCTTTATTTTTTTTTCTTTTCAATCTGAAATACATGACCCATGTTTGGTGGCACATAGCTGTAGCCCCAGCTACTTTGATGATTAAGACAAAAGAATCAAAAGCTCATGGCCAGTTGGACAATTTAGCAAGTCTATGCCACATAGAGACTTTAAAAATAGGGGCCTGGATGGGGGCTGGAAATATCTTTAGGAGATAAATTGTTTCCTAAATTAATGGTATAATTAAAAAATTTTAATATCTGATATTATTTGTACTTTGATTTATCTGTTGTCAGTAATTTCTTTTTTAAAAAATGTTATTTTTATTTTATGTATATGAGTGTATTGCCTGCATGTATGTGAATTGCACCCTTGTGCAGTGCCGCGGAGGTCAGAAGAGGGCTTCGGATTCCCCTGGAACTGGAGTCAAGTACGGTTCATAGCCACCATGTGGGTGCTGAGAATTGAACCTGGGTCCACTGCGAGAGCAGTCAGTGCTCTTAACTGCTGAGCCATCTCTCCAGCCCCAGTTGTCAGTAATTTCTTATCTCCCCTCCTCACTCTTCCTGTCCTGCTCATGCTAAGAGCTTACCCTATGGCAAACCAGTGCTAGTGAAGAATCATCTATATAAGACCCTTGTTGTTTCTTTATGGCATATTGCTATCACTGGGAGTTTAGAAATGAGAACCACAGTGGCATGGCAGGTTCATGTACACACAGTTGGCTTTCAGCCTGTGCATATTCTGTAACTAGATTTTCTTCCCATCTTAATTTTATTTGTAATCCCAAAACTCTACTCATAGTACTTATATGGTTGTTCACGGACATGGTCATATTGGCAAAATTGGAGGACTGGATATCAAGTGTGTGCTTCCAGCATCATGATACAAGGTGATACTCTGATTTCTTGTTTGCCCTCAAGTCTTATGCTTAGCTCAAACTGCTAACAAGTGTCCATTTTGTGGTCTGTTTGGTGCTACACTTCCAGTTGTGTGCTTTTTTGGGGAAGGGGTGATTTTGCTGTTTAAAATGGTTCCAAACACCAATATTGTGTGTGAGGAGGCTGTGAACTTGTGTGAAGAAGACACTTTTGTTAGAGAAACTTTGCTAAGACGTAGTTGACTTACAAAGCTGCTGGCAGCGAGCTCAATAGTCATTGATAATAACTTAAGATAATATATGAATAATTAGTAACTAATAGATAATTTACTAGATATTAAATAAGGCGTGTTTAAACAGAATCACAAGTAAATAAATGGATATGTTTTTTCATCAGTTAATAGGACTGTTGTATCTAGGGACTCACAGGAACCCCATATCCGTCTAGGAACAGTTCTGTGTCTGCCACTGCTGCATTTGTGGTGACGTTATAGAACATGGCCACTGTGAACAGCCCATATCAGCTATTCTACTTCTCTCTGCAGAATCCAACTTTAGGCCCTGTGTCCACTCAGAGCAGTGGCTTTCCTGGCTGGTTAGTTTGAGCTGGCTATGCTTGTTTACTTTCAGTGCATGACCTGCGGCAGCAGATGGCAGCCCTACAGAGCCAGCTTCAGCAAGTGCAGCTGGAGCGTACAACATTGACCAGCAAGCTACAAGCATCACAGGCTGAAATCACATCTCTGCAACATGCTCGGCAGTGGTACCAGCAGCAGCTTGCCTTGGCCCAGGAGGCCCGGGTCAGGCTACAAGGCGAGGTGGCCCACATCCAGGTATAGTACAGGAACTCCCTTTCAGGGATATGGCAAATGCTTTTCCCTGAATTACAAAGGTGTTCTAAACTGGTACATACCTCTAATGTATGTACTACATACCAGAGGTATGTAGTGGTACATACCTCTAATCCCAGTACTCTAGAGGCTAAGACAGGAAGATCAAAAGTTTAAAGCTAGGCAAATGAGGAAAACTTATTTCTGGCTTTATTTTTCATGGATATGTTTTTGTTAAGCATCTGCTGATTACATGGGAGCCAACACCCATCCTATTGAATGACTTCCCACTCCTTCCTCCTTGACTTTGTTGACATAGGAACCTTCCAGTTTTTTACTTGAGTCTTACTCTAAAATGCCCCACTCTGGACTGGCCCATGCTCCTTATGCTAGTGTAGTTCTTTCTCCAAAGAGTAACTCTTCATTTGACCTCAAGCCCACATGTACTGTGCCTTAGCATCCTACCCCCGTCCCTCTGCCTCAGCAGCTCCCGCCTCCCTGATTTGAATCTCTTTCTTGTGATATTCTTGAGTGACAAAGTGTGGCAGGTGGTCCTTCCTAGTTGGAGTTTCATCTTCCTCTGGCTGCTTAGCCCCAGCTGCCCATGTGAACTGTTGCTTCCAACTCCTGTAGGGGACATTGTCTCTGAATTTGTATGTGTTGATCTGTGTATCCTTTGGAAATATTAACACTGGTGTATGTGAGTACTTAAGTATGAAGCCTGTCTGGCCCCTTTACTTAGGCAGCATTCTTTGGAAACCAAGTTGCTTGAATACATTTTACTCTGAAGGTCAGGGCCTGGCTGACTAGACTGGTGGAAAGTGCCAAAGAGCACTTTTAGTTAGCCTTTAAATTTTTTTTTTTTTTGCCTAGTTGGGCATGGTGATACACACCTTTAATCCCAGTACTCAGGAGGCAGAGGTAGGTGGACCTCTGTGAGATTGAGGCCAGCCTGGTTTACATAGCAAGTTCCAGGCCAACCTGGGCTATAAGGGAGACCCTGTCTCAAAAATTAAAATAAAAATGTAGCTATCAGCTTTTATTTTTCCAGATAAAATAGTATAGATTTAGTGAGGCTTTCTTTTTCAAGTAGAGAATGTACAATAGCACTCCATCAAATGTCCCTTTTCTTTTTGATCTAGAGTTTGCACATACACAAGAAAGAAGTTTTCTTAAATTTAAATTATGCGTTTTTAAGCCACAGATCCATATAGAAAACTGGATCTCTTTCTTGTGATATTCTTTATATAGAAAAGCTTTTGTTGTACTTACAGTGTACTTAGACATAAATTGCTATGCTAATTAATATATTCAGGCTTCTGTATATTCTATGAGGCATATAATACTCAAAGAAGTTGGAGTTTTGTATAAGTTTGGGAAATGATTTGGAAGATAGAAGTAGGGGCTGGAGAGATGGCTCAGCAGTTAAGAAGACTGTTCTTGCAGAAGACTTGGGTTCGAATCCCAGCACTCACATGGCAGCTAACAGCTGTCTGTAACTCCAGTTCCAGGGGATCCAACAGCCTCTTCTGTCCTCTGTGGGCATTGCACAACATGGGTGCACTTACCTACACTCATACACATAAAATAAAACAGTAAATAAAATATTTTTTAAAAAAAGTAGAAGAGGAATCAATGGTAGTTTGAGAATCTTGCTTCCTTCAAAATTTTTTGGCACATAGGTTGAGTGTTCTGTAACTAGAGTTCTTCATGCTCCTTCTGTCTCTGTCTACCTCTTTCTGTTCATATGAGCACTCAACAGGCTAGAAGATGCAGAACAGCTACAGCCTGTCTCTTTTTGTTTTAAACCATAAGCCCAGCAAGTGCTATACTTCCTCCTTTGCTCTGTGCAGCTCCTCTTTAGATCTGAGCCCCACCATTCTGCCCCACCTTGCATCCTGCCAGTCTAGGAAGGTCTACTGGGGTTGGACACAAGGTAGGGAAGGTCTTGTCACAGGCCTTTTGCTTAAGTGTCTTCATATTTTGTGTTTCTTTGCTGTTCCTCATCCCTTGGGGGCTGTGGGACTGGATTCCTTTTCTTAAGGACATTGTCAGTCAGATTAGGCCCTGAGTATCTGTGGAGCCTGTGGGGATCCAGTGGGACTTTGTTAATTCAGAGGTGTACGTTGGATGGGAACTCAAGTGTAGGTCATGTCCAAACCACACATTCTCAGTTGTGAAGCCCTGACTTTTAGATAGCCAGCTCCCAGATCCCTTAGGCATACAGAACTCTATCACTTGACCCAAGTTAGAGATGGGATGACCCATGGTTGGCAGAGGGTTTGTGTAGATGACTGCTGGGATTGGAGATGAAGAAGACAGGGCTTTCCCTGCCTTGTGGGACATTATGATGGTCAGCCAGTAGCAGTAGCCATTGCTGGTAGAGGACCCACACACACACCCCAGTGACTAGGTATAGGCTGGTCTGTCCTTGATGCCTAATGTTAAGCTGCTTTTAACTTGTGGGTCTTTCTTTGAAGGTTGGACAGATGACCCAAGCAGGCCTGCTGGAGCACCTGAAGCTTGAGAATGTGTCCCTATCCCACCAGCTGTCAGAAACTCAGCACAGATCCATCAAGGAAAAAGAGCGCATAGCTGTTCAACTTCAGAGCATTGAGGTGAGTGCTGCAGTGATAGTAATTGTTTTTAATCTAACTTTGTGTCTTGATGGCAAATGTAAGACGTATACATACATACTTATAATACATATAAGTAAACATAAGTGTATCTTATAGATATGTGTGTATACATATATACATATACACATACACACACACATATATATTACATATGTATAATATTACTCAAAAGAGTGTTTCAGAAATATTTTTTTGAGGCTGGGGAGATGACTTAGTGGAATAAAAATGCTTGAAGTGCAAGCATAAGGGCCTAAGCTCAAATCCTCAGCACCCACATAAAAAGCTGGGCGAGCCGGGCATGGTGGCGCATGCCTTTAATCCCAGCACTTGGGAGGCAGAGGCAGGCGGATCTTTGTGAGTTCGCGGCCAGCCTGGTCTACATAGTGAGTTCCAGGACAGCTGGGGCTACAGGGAGACCCTGTCTCAAAAAAAAGACCAAAAAAAAAAGCTGGGTGTGACTACGTTGCCTATAACTGCAGCATTGCAGGGGCAGAGACAGGAGCCTGTGAGATCACTGGCCAGTCATAGTAGCCAAAATGGCAAGCTTCCAGGTTAGTGAGAGACCTTGTTTCAAGGCAACAAGGTGGAGAACAATAAGGTAGTGTCTTCCTCTAGCCTCTGTCCGCACATGCATGAGTTCATACATCCACACACACACCACAAACTCATATAACTATATATACACACATGCCCAACATCCCCCCCCCCACACACACAAAAGCGTGCTTTTGAATAATGTGCAGTGATATTGTTCATCATTTGGGGATTCTACCCCTTGTCTGACCTGAGTGTCCTTGGTACCTTCAAGCTCTTCTCTAAGCCCAGTAAGTTGTTGCCAGCTGAGGACAGAGCTAACCACAGAGTGGATGGGGAGAGAGACAGTTAAGTATATTTGTAGGTTAGACAGCATTTCTAAGTCCAGTGATAATAAAGATTTTGCTTGTCTGCAAGCACTCAGCCTGTACTCAGTCAGTTCCTCCTAAAGTGTCTTCCTGAAGGCATTTTCATTATTGCCAGCTTCCTCTACACATCATCTCTAGATGATGAGAAATGCAGTGCCTTTGGCTTGAACGTGAATCCTGTTCTCTGTGACACCCTAGATGATTTTGGTTTGGTTTGGTTTGGTTTGGTTTGGTTTTTTGAGACAGGGTCTCACAATGTAGCCATGGCTATCCTGGAATTCACTATATAGACCAGGCTGGTTTCAAACTCAACAGAGATCTGCCTGCCTATACCTCCTAAGTGCTGGGATTAAAGGTGTTTGCCACCCTACCCAACCCAACTCCTAGGTAATTTCTTAACCTGAGTATAGGTTTTGCTTCTCTCTCTTTTCTCTTCAAGACAGGGTCTTTTGTAGCCCAGGCTGGCTTCAGACTTTCTATATAGCCTAGGATAACTTTAAGCTCCTATCCTCCTACTTCTGCCTCCTTAGTACTATGATTACAGACATGTCCCATCACATTTAGTTTCATGTAGTGTGGGGATAAAACTCAGGGCTTCATATATGTTAGGCAGTGAGTCTACCATCTGAGCTATATCTCAAGCTCCTTTTTTTCTTATTGTTGGAGAGGAACCCAGGGCCTTGTACATGCTACTCAAGTGCTTTCTACCAATGAGCCATATCTCTAGCCCTAATTTTCTTTTTTTACAAAATAGAAACATTTGCTTAGTATCCTTGTTACCAAAAAAGCAAAGAAGAGAAAAACCATGTAAAATATCTAGTTAGGGGCCAGTGAAATGGTTCATTGGGTAAAGGTGCTTTCTGCCAATCTTGTTGACCTGAATTCAGTTCTTGGAACCTAGATGGTAAAAGGAGAAAACCAACTTCTGTGTGTTGTCTTCTGACCTCCACATGGACACCATGGCATGTGTACACACATATACATACACAATATAAATAAATATAAAAAATATTTTAAAAATTTAGTGTGTAAAGCTGGGCATGGGAGGCAGAGGCAGGTGGATCTCTGTGAGTTCTAGGCCAGCCTGGTCTACATAGCAGGTTCTAGGCCAGCTCGGGCTACAGGGAGACCCTGTCTCAAAAAGACCAAAAAAAAAATATTTAGTGTGCAAAGTGATTATTGTGAGTTGAATGATTTCCTAGGCCTTTTTTGATCCTAACCTTTCATAGATACACAGGAAATCAGCTTTCCTAAGCCTTTTCTGCTTTGTCTTCCTGACTGTACCTGCCCTTTTTTCCATATGGAACATAGGACAGCCATTGGCTCATAGATGATGGAAGAGAAGCATGTTGAGAACCAAAATGATTAAGAGCTCAGTAAAGAACTGAAAATACTTTGGATTTATAAACTAATTTATTTTTTGAAAGAAATGTATCAAAGTTGGGAGCTGGGAGTGGTAGTATATAGAGTATATACCTATAATTCCAGCACTTAGAAGGTAGAAACAGTAGAAACAGCATTCTAAGTTTGCAAGTTCAAGACCAGCTTGGTCTACTTAGTGACTTTATATATATATATTTTAAAAGCCCTTTAATCCCAGCATTTGGGAGGTAGGCGGAGATATATCTCTCTGAGTTTGAAGCCAGCCTAATCTACATAGTGAGTTTGAGGCTAGCTGGGACTACATAGTGAGACCTTGTCTCAAAAAGAGGGTGGGGGGAGCAGTAAGATGGCTCAGTGGGTAAAATACTTGCCAAGCCTAACAATTTGAATTCAATATCCATGACCTACATAGTAGAAGGAGAGAACCAACTCTCGAAAGTTGTCCTCTAAGCCCCACATGTACATGCATACCACAAATAAATGTCATTAAAGCCTGTATCTTTTTTTTTTTTTTTTTTTTTTTTTTTTGTCTTTTTGAGACAGGGTCTCCCTGTAGCCCTAGCTGTCCTAGAACTCACTATGTAGACCAGGCTGGCCTTGAACTTACAGAGATCTGCCTGCCTCTGCCTCCATGCCCGGCTAAAGCCTATATCTTTTTAAAAGTACCAAGATGTCAGGTCTTATCTGTATAATCAAATTCTTAAGAAATGCCATAGTTGGCCCCATGGTCCCTATTGGCTTACTTTTACTAATGTGAAGTAGAAGTCTTGTCAAAGAGACTATTAGATATTCAACACTTCAAAAGGAGAGATGTGCTCCTGATCTATCCTTCCATGACAAATGGCCAGGAAGGAGGCTCATTTAGTACATGATCCTTTTTTTTTTTTTTTTGGTTTTTTTGAGACAGGGTCTCCCTGTAGTCCCAACTGACTTGAACTCACTATGTAGACCAGGCTGGCCTTGAACTTACAAGGATCCGCTTGCCTCTGCCTCCCGAGTGCTGGGATTAAAGGTGTGCGCCACCACGCCCGGCAGTACGTGATCCTTTAAAAAAAAAAAAAAAAATTGACAGACTGAGATGGAGACCTCATGTAGCCCATGCTGGCCTTAAACTCACTATGTAGCAAGGAAGACCTTGAACTTCTTCTGATCCTCCTGCCTCCACCTCCTAAGTACTAAGATTACAAGTATGTACCACCACATTGAGTTTTATGCAGTGCTCGCAATCAGTCCCAGGGCTTCATGTATGTTAGACAAGTGCTTTTTCTGCTTGAACTATATCACCAGCTCAACTTGATTATTTTTCTTTTGTCCACCTGGTCTTAAACTTATAGTCTGAAATGATCCTCCTTCCATCTCAGACTCTTAAGTTGCCAGGAGGGTTGTTTGCCTGGTTGTCTTTTGGGACAGGTCTGGATCAGCTAGGATAAGAGTCCTGAGTAGCCTGGCCTCTATTGTGGTAAGTAGACAGGTACCATAAATGTACTCTAAGTCCCTCAGTTTGTAGTTCATAGACAGAATGGAGCTGTGAACAAGGGACTTCTTGCAGAGCAGTGGGTTTCCCTATAAAGTGTGAGACTTTCAGTCTATTGTTGGTAATCAAATTTTCCTGCTTTTTAAAAAAAAGACTGTTTCTGGCCAGGTGTGGTGGTAATATACCACCTTTAATTCTAGCACTTGGGGAGGCAGAGACAGGCATGGATCTCTGAGTTCTAGGCCATCCTGGTCTACATAGCAAGTTCCAGACCAGCTGGGGCTACAGGGAGACCCTGTCTCAAAAAGACCAAAAAACAAACAAAACAAAACAAAAAAACATTGTTTCTGGAGCTGGAGAGATGACTCAGCAGTTAAGAGTATGTACCACTCTTAGAGATGACCTAGGTTTGGTTTCCAGCACCTACATTTCAGCTTCCAGCCATTAGTTAACTCTAATTCAAGGGGGAATCTGACACCCTTTTCTGGCCTCTGCAGGAACCAGGCACATGTGGCACACATACATACATTTAGGCCAAACACTCATACACATAAAATATATATATATATATATTTTTGGTCTTTTTGAAGCAGGGTCTCCCTGTAGCCCCAGCTATCCTGAACTCACTATGTAGACCAGGCTGGCCTTGAACTCACAGAGATCACCTGCCTCTGCCTCCCAAGTGCTGGGACTACAAGCGTGCACCACCATGCCTGGCTAAAATAAATAAATTTTTAAAAGAAAATGTTTCCTGGGTCCAGGCTGACATGTTGGATCAGGAGGCAGCCTTTGTCCAGATTCGGGAGGCAAAGACAATGGTGGAGGAGGACCTCCAGAGGAGGCTAGAAGAGTTCGAAGGTGAACGGGAGCAGCTACAGAAGGTGGCAGATGCGGCAGCATCCCTAGAGCAACAGTTGGAACAGGCAAGTAGCTCCTGCCACTCTGGACCCCAGGCTCACAGAAGCCTCTGTGGACATGGGCCTACCCTGGTATGCATGTCCCAGGACCATCTACATGTAGCCTGTGTTATGATGTCTTGTATCAGGCTATGTCAGTGGTACAGGTTTGTTTTGGGTTGTTTATTGAATATATTTGAAGGGTTGCTATCAGACTACTCTGTTAACAGCCTGATCATGGGTTTGCTTCTGTTCATGTTCTTCTACTAAAAATTTGCATAAAAATGACCCTTAAAGGAGTCCCTCAAAATTATTTAAATCTTGTATAAATTCTTGAAGCAGGGTAGAGGACATGTTAAGTTTATCACCTATTTCCAGGTGAAGTTGACACTGCAGCAACGAGACCAGCAGCTTGCAGCACTGCAGCAGGAGCACCTAGACGTGATGAAGCAGCTCACCTTGACACAGGAGGCTCTACAGGCCAAGGGACAGTCCCTTGATGATCTGCACACACACTATGATGAGTTGCAAGCAAGGCTGGAGGAGCTGCAGGGGGAAGCTACCTCCAAGGAGGACACAATTCGCTTCCTGCAAAATGAGAAGATTGTCTTGGAGGTGGCGCTGCAGGTGGCCAGAACTGACAAGGAAGAACTCGACAAAGGAGTGAGACATCTGGAGGAAGATACCGAGGAGACATCAGGACTTTTGGAGCAACTGAGACAAGAATTGGCAGTCAAGTCCAGCCAGGTAGCACAGTTATTTTATGAAAGTCCACAAATTAATTCTTCTCTGGGATACATTCTGTTGTGAATGTGAGTGACCATTGGGGGAGTGTTTTAGAACAGGGAGCTTAATGGGTTATGTTGTGCTCCTTTGCTGCATTAACCACTGGGTATGGAGGAACCAGAACTGGGAAACTGAGTTTTGTTTGGGGGGTTTTTTAATGTATTTGCCAAAAACACCAGTTTTTGCTGCTGACAATGTGGTTCTCAGTTTGAGGAGAAGATGCAGTAAACTTGGCTTTGCTGTTCTGCCTACGTGGAGCAGGCTAGTCATGGTGTAAAATGGTGTGCAGAGTAGGGCAGATAGCTCATACTAGGCCCCACCTGTTTTCATACAGGGTCACGGTATGTAAGAGTACAGTCTATAGGCTGGCCCTATATGGGCAATGCCAGTGTCTTAACAACTGAATGCTGCCAGATATCGACAGATCAGTAAAAAATAGAGTATAAAGAAGGATGTTGGGCCAGGCTTGGTGGCACATGCCTTTAATTCCAGCGCTCAGAAGGCAGAGGCAGGAGGATCTCTGAGTTTGAGGCCAGCCTGGTGTACATAGTGAGTTCTAGGCCATCTGGGACTATAAGAGAGACCCTGTCTCAAAAAGATTTAAAAAAACAAAAGACTGTTCAGGAAGTGGAAGTAACATTGAAATGATTCTACCTGAAAATACTGCTGTGTAAGGACCAAGGACTAGGGATCACTGTTTCTCTTAGAGATAATAATTTAGGGCGATTGTCAGAGTTCTCTGACTATTAGTTTGCTGAGAGGGACCTCAGCTGACACTGGACAGTATTTATCATGCTGAGATTTTACTGTGTTACCAAAGCTACTTTTCAGTGCCCTTGGATTATGATGATTTGCTTAAAGAAAGGTGAGCCAGCAAAGCAGACTAATTGGGAAACAGCTGCCCCTCAACCACTGGCCTGCCCAAGTGCTTGCTGCCCTGTCTGTCTGGTTAGAATGTGCATGTGTAGGCGCCTAGGGGTCTCAGACAGTGCTGTCCAAACAGGGTTTCAGGATTTACTGATCTCTACTCCCTTTGCCTTCATTCCTCTGTAGAATTGTGACTAGACCAGATGTAGATGACAGAGGGTAACAGGAGGAAATGGAAGACATGTCTAAAACAACATTCTCAGGATTCCTGAAGGACAATCTGAGAATAACCTCCAGATTGTAGGGAAAACTGGCTTGCTGTGCTCAAGTGGATTTGTGTGGAGTATGTTTTGTTTTGGGGTTTTTTTGTGTTATGTATGTGTCTTTTTGAAGCAGGGTCTCCCTGTAGCCCCAGCTGTCCTGGAACTCAGTATGTAGACCAGGCTGGCCTTGAACTCACAGAGATCTGCTGGCCTCTGCCTCCCAGGTGCTGGGGCTACCAGGCGTGTGCCACCACACCCAGCTTGTTTTGGTTTTTTGGAAACAGCGTTTCCCTGTAGCCCCAGTGGGCCTGGAACGCTCTGGACGAAGCTGGCTTGATGTCATAGAGATCCGCTTGCCTCTGCTTCCTGAGTGTTAGGATTAAAAAATTCTGCCACCATACCCAGCTGTGGAGCATATTTTGATTTTGGAGGAGAAATCATTTCTAATAGAAAACCTTGGCCCTCAGCAAGCTTTTGCCATCTCTGAGGCAGTGTCCCTAAGCAGGTTCTCTGACTGCTTTACATCTAAGATAATGATCCCAGGCAATCCTCTTAATGGTGCCAGGTGAGCGTGGTTTCACTGCCACTTCAGACTGTGTCATGTAACATGCCTGGGTGTCTCTATCATGTGCCATGGACCTGTGCCCTCCATACGGAGTACATCAGAGCCCTGACAGTGTGTCATGGGACTTCTCCCAAAGCATTTTTTATTGGATTGGGGCGTGACTTAGTGATAGAACATTTCCCTAGCATGCTCCAGGGTTAGGAATCAACATACAGAAAAGAAACAAGCTTTTTGCTCTATTAGAGTAGCACTTCATATATATGTTCTTCAGTCCTTGGGTGCTCTCTGTGTGCAGATCTGATTCCATCTAGGGCCTGAGACAGCAGTTCTCACAAGCTCCCAGATAGTAAAGACAGTACCTCTAGTACACTTGAGGTGGCAAGGATGTGGGGTTTTCTAAGTTGAGGTTCGTTCTTTCCTTTATGTAGTATCTGTGGCTACTTTCCTGTTTTAAGAACAGAGCTGACAAGCTGCAACAGACATGTGGCCCACAAAGCTGAAGGTGTTTCTTTGACTATTCCAGGAAGGACTTATAGCTACCTACTCTAGAACACTCTTTTCCTTGTCCTTTCTCTCACTCCTCTGCCCCTTGCCATGTCTTTATGCTTTTAAGTGGCAAGGAGGGAGGATGCTGGGTATGTACCATGCCTGAATAGCCCTTGGGACATCAGCCTATACCAGATTGCAAACCCTTTTCCATGCACTTGCTGGGGCTGGCTCTTAGGAAATGCCACTGGCTGGGCACAGGCCTGGAGCTCTCATGCCTTCTTTGTGCAAACCTCTCTTGTAGGTGGAACACCTACAGCAGGAGACAGCCTCCCTGAAAAAGCAGATGCAGAAGGTAAAGGAGCAGTTTCTTCAGCAAAAGGTAAGACATGGGAAACAAGTATCAAGCGTATCTCTGAGTAATCCGTTTGATTAAGTAAAACAAAATCTGTCAGAAAGAAAGAAGCATTCATGGTCTTCCTTAACCTTTTTAAGAGCAGTGTACTCATTCTACAATGTCCTCCATTCTTCATCACAGTCTGTAAGGTCAGCATGCCCTTAACTCTGGTGAGAGATTGGATCTCTGATCCCCCCAAGGCATGTAGCATCTGCCATTGTGGTACCTGTCATGACCCTTTTGGTATCATTCCTGAGAGCTGTGTGTGTTGTGCATTGTTGTCAGTATGTAAGTTGTGTTTGCTGTATAAAAGTTCTGAAAAGCTGGGTTGGAGAGATGGCTCAGCGGTTAAGCTGGTTAAACTGATTGTTCTTGAAGAAGACCCGGGTTTGAATCCCAGCACCCACATGGCAGCTAACAACTGTCCGTAACTCCAGTTCCAGGGGATCCAACAACCTCTTCTGTCCTCCGCAGGCATTGCATGACACGGGTACATTTACCTACATGCAGGCAATATACTCATACACATAAAAATAATAAATAAAATATATTAAAAGTTCTGAAAAGCTTTCACCATGGTACAACATTAAAACAAATTCAGTTGTGCCTAATAGGCCATTACCTATCAGAAGCCAAACACTCCAAACAAAGGAAGACCTTGTGAGATTACTTGGAAGAGATAGGGAGTCCCAGGAGGCTAATGGGATGCTTCATGCGATGTCCAGATTGGTTGGAGCATAGTTTATAGTCACATTGTGTGACAGACATCCAGACATTTTATCACGATTGGTGTTTCTCAATGGGTAGCATTAGATTTGAAGAAATGTGTCTTTTTAGTGCAAAAAAGTTATGCCCTAGGGCTGGAGATGTAGCTCAGTTGGTAGAGTACTCACCTGGCATTTTTGAAGCTCTGTGTTCCATCCCTAGTACTGTGGGGGAAAGAAGTTAATGCCTTAAATTGATGATAAACATTTTTATTTTAGCCATTTTATTCCCTGGGTAAGACCCTACTGGGGCACTGGCCTATAACTTGTGCCTTGTCCTACAGGTAATGGTAGAGGCCTACCGGCGAGATGCCACTTCCAAAGACCAACTCATTAGCGAGCTGAAAGCCACAAAGAAGCGGCTGGACTCAGAGATGAAGGAACTGAGACAGGAACTAATCAAGCTGGTTGGAGAGAAGAAGATTGTGGAAGTGGAGCAATCACGCTTGCAGAAGGAGGTGTCCCTGGTTCACCAGCAGATGGTGGATCTTGAGGGTCATCTTCAGTCAGTGCAGAAAGAACGAGATGAAATGGAGACTCATCTACAGGTCTGTGGAATGCATTAGATAGATTCTGTTGAGTTATCAGCCAGATGTGCTAGGGACTTAACTGTGTATAAGGTGGGACAGGGAGCACTGGCCACAGTCTGGAGATTATGGCCTTCCTGAAGCTAATGCCCAGGTAAGTCTAGGCTGTGATGACACGTGAAAGGACAAAGAGGGCTGAGCACCTGATAATACCCTGTGACAGGCTCTTTGCAGCCAGTGTTTGAGCTGAGGACTCCGTGAGGTTGGCACCAAGCAGAAAGGGGAGAATGCTCTGCAGAGACCCTGACTTCAGGCAGTGTACAGGGGCTAAGGGGGTTCCATAGCCAGCTGTTTAATGAGTGCAGTGGGAGCTGGTGCCAGGAGGGAGGCGGTAGCTGGTTGTTGAACAGACAAGATGAGGTTAGAGATGACTTGAATGTAGAAGTAGAGCTCTCAGTCTAGATAACCAGCTAGGTATCCCAGATGAGGAACACTTCCTGAGATGAGAAATTTGAGAAGTGGTAGGTAGGATGCTAGACCCAAGGCTCCATTTTGCACCCTCAGGAGGACCAGACCAAGATCCTGATAGACAGGTAGCACACCTATAAGGGTAGTGTGTCCAAGTGTTCACCCAGCAACACCTTGCTTGTTCCTTTTATGAGGCATCACAGCCTAGACTTTCTTTAACTTGTCTTCCCTGCCAGGACATTAGCTTCAGGAAGGCCTTTGATGCTCTGGACACAGTGGCCAGAAATGCTTTTGACCTCATGAAGTGTTCATCAGATGCTGATGTCTGCAGTGAGTAGCTCTGTACTTACCACACATTCTTTCTTTTAAAGTCTTTGCAGTTTGACAAAGAGCAGATGGTTGCTCTTACCGAAGCGAATGAGACACTAAAGAAACAAATAGAAGAGCTGCAGCAAGAGGCCAAGAAGTAAGTCTGTGAGCAGCACACACTTACCTGAGCTGTGCTGAGGATAGGGAAGAGCCTGGGCAATCTTCATGTGGCTGCATTCCCCATATAACCTTATTGAAAAGGAGCTTGGGCCCATTAAAAGCTAGCCTGGAGCAATTTCTAAATTTAAAGTTCCATCATGATTTGGCAGCTGTTTTTCCTACATATTTATCCAAATGTATAAGTTGATTTGCTGAAGAATTGTTTAACAGAAACTTCCCTCACCCAGTGCTGGGGATCAGTCCCAGGACTTTGAGCATGCTAAGCAGGTACTGCTCTACCACTGATCTACATCTCTAGTCCTAAACTCGCCTGTTTTTATTTTGACTTTTTGTACCACACACTGGTGGCAATATCCTCCAATTCCTGATCCCTCACTAGGACTGACACTTTGGCATTTATCTACCATATTCTTTTATGGCCCTCACAGCCCATGCCAGTATATACATGTGTTAGCACATAATGCTAACAGCCTTTAAGGCCACTTATTTATTTATTTATTTATTTATTTATTTATTTATTTATTTATTTATTTATTTATTTATTTTGGGGGTTGTTTTGTAAGACAAGATCTTGCTTTATAGCCCAAGTTGGCCTGAAACTTGTGATTACCCTGTCTCAGTCTCCCAAGTGCAGAGATTACGGGTGTGGGCAGTGACTCCTAACTCTTTGGGACCTCTTCACTCCATAGTACATCCTGTGCTGCCTGACTTTTGTCAGCTGGTAATAATACCCTCACAAATCTCATCACCAAATTTGTTGCTAACCTTTAGGAAGAATGATACAGGTATTCAGTTTGACTGGCTTGTGCTTTTTTTTTTTTTTTTTTTTTTCCCTCACAAGATTGCTTTGTTCTGTTGAGGGCTCACTCTTTAGCCTAGACTATCCTAAAACTTGTTATGTAGCCCAGGAGAATCCTTCTGCCCCAGCCTTTTGGGTGCTGGGATTACAGGTGTATACCACCACACCCAGCACAAGGTCATTTTTAAATTATTCTAAGAGGGCAGGTCTGATTGTGGTAGATGTGGTCAGTGAAATCACAATGTTTTTCTTGTCCTTCTGGCCCTGTAGGGATTCTTGATGCAGACATTTCTTCCCCTTTCGTAGCCAAATTAGAGCAAGTATACACTTACCCATGTCATCCTGAGGGACCACCAGGTTCTGGGAAGAGACAGGATGGGGTTGAGCTAAGGTGGCTTCTAGCGCCAGAGGTCCAAACTGCCCAGTTCTGGAGAGTAAACTGACTTCTGCACTTGGGATCACAGGCTGGGGAGCTGGTTGGTTGAACTGGGTTCTCAGCTGCCTGTGTTGTCTCTCACCTCCCAGGGCTATCACAGAACAAAAGCAGAAGATGAAGCGGCTGGGCTCAGATCTGACCAGTGCCCAGAAGGAGATGAAGACTAAGCACAAGGCCTATGAAAATGCTGTGAGCATCCTCAGCCGCCGCCTGCAGGAGGCCTTGGCTGCCAAAGAGGCTGCAGATGCAGAGCTGAACCAGCTAAGAGCTCAGAGCACTGGTGGCAGCAGTGACCCTGTTCTTCATGTAGGTAAACACATTTCCCCCTGTCCTTATGACTCCTTTGAGTGTGCCAAAAGGCCATTCTATCAACATTTTCTTGCTCTAAAATCCTTATAAGTCACTGAGCTGCACTGTCACCCCCCCCCCCGTTTATTTTTAATTTTTTTAAAACATTTTGAGACAGTCTGACCAAGTTACCTTCAGGCTGACCTTGAAATTGCAGTCCTCCTGCCTCAGCTTACTAAGTAGCTGAGATTTTAAATATGCAAGTATGCAGCATCACATCTTAACATAGACAACATTTCTTTTTTTTAATATTTGTCTTATTTATATAAGTGTTTGCCTGCATGTATGTAAATGCACCCATGTTGTGCAAAGCTCATGGAGCCCAAAAGAGGGCGGTGGAACTGGACAGCTGCCATGTGGTTGCTAGGCACTGAAACTGGGTCCTCTGCAAAAGCAACCAGTGCTCTTAACCACTGAGCCATTTGTCAAGCCTCTAGACAACAAGTCTTTAGCAAACTGTTTGGTCTATCACTAGACCTTTAGTGACTTACATATAATATTGTATGTGTCCTGGGAGAAGCTTCCTTGACCTATAGAAATCTGACTGCTGGCTGAGAAGCTGTGGCAGGACCTGCTTCTGCCCACCAGTCTTCTCTGTGTAGTTTTAGGTCCCACAGGTGGAGGTGTGCACAGAGACAGCGTAGTGAGATATGCAGTAAGAGTGGAGGGGATAGGAAGCAGTGTTTCTTAGAGTGGAAAAACTTTGCAGAAGGCACTGGGGGTGAGCAAGGGTGCATTTTTGGGCTGGAAGACTGAGTGGGAGATGACTCAGTGGGTAAAGACACCTGCTGCCAAGCTTAATGACCTGAGTTCAATCCGCATACCCACATGGCAGAAGGAGAGAACTGACTCCCTTAAGTTATCCTCTGAGCTCTACTCACACACCATACCACAAACATGCACAGAATAAATAAATGTAGTAAAGAACTTAAAAAACAAAATGTGGTCAGACTTGAGTCTGCACAGCATCGTACCTGGAGGTGCTGTGAGAGTTGAGGGAGGCAAGGACTGATGACTAAACAAGCCTCCCATCTTGGCTCTCAGGAGAAGATCCGTGCTCTGGAGGTGGAGCTACAGAATGTTGGCCAGAGCAAGATGCTGCTAGAGAAGGAATTGCAGGAGGTAATCGCAATGACTAGCCAGGAGCTGGAAGAGTCCCGGGAGAAGGTGCTGGAGCTGGAAGATGAGGTAACACCTGCATTGCCAGGCAGAGTTGCATTGCTGCTTAACACTTGGTCACTCTTAGATTGTAGATTGAACAAACTGTTGCCAGTACTTTAGCAAGGATGACATCAGTTAACACTTCTTTTTTTTTCTTTTTTCTTTTTTCTGTCTTTTTGAGACAGGGTCTCCCTGTAGCCCCAGCTGACCTGGAACTCACTATGTAGACCAGGCTGGCCTCGAACTCACAGAGATCCACCTGCCTCTGCCTCCCAAGTGCTGGGATTAAAGGCATGCGCCACCATACCCGGTCCCAGTTAACACTTTTATAGTTACAAAATGACTACTGGGACCCACACTCTTAATCCAGATGTTGTCCACCCTGTGACCCATATGCCACACGCATCCCAGGAGAGCTATGAATCCATCCAAACATGTTTGTAGATGAAAGTGTCGTATTTTCAATGTCCAAAGGTTAGATACTTCTGCTCTTTTTCTTGGTAGAATGCTTTGATTACAAGTAAGAAACCCAACCCAAACCTGTCAAAGAACTGAAAACTCAGAGGGAGTCTGTTGCTCTAACTTCAGCCAGTGCTAGCATTGTCACTAAGGGCTCTTAGCACCAATCTCTGGCCTACCCCACTGCCTACCTTGCTGGGTCCTTGGGAAGTTACCAATCCTTTTAGGGCTATGTGCTCTATCAGCCACAGTATCCTGTCCTAAAACAGGTGCTGCTGAGATAGCCTAGAGGCTTCATGCCTACTTCCAAGTGGTATGTCCAGGACCATGAGCAGTTCTTGATCAGCTTCTCCTGAAACCCAGGAGAGCAGCCCACTGTGGCTACTATAGCCTGTCAGGTCACAAGTCAAGGGCAGTTTGTGCTATCCATTAGTATTAACTGTTTCTTACTAAAAATCGCTTACCAGATTCAGTTGACTTTTTTTTTTTTTTTAACTTTTGACATAAGATCTCCTGTAGCTCAGGTTTGCCTTGAACTGATCCTTCTGCCTCTATTTCCCAAGTGCAGAGAAGTACAGACATGTGTCACCATGTCTGCCCAGGGCATGAAATGTGACAGGTACTAGTATATTTCAGCTTCAAGAATCCAGAGGCTTCAGAAGGAAGATAAAACGCCTTGAGGAATCGAATAAGAAATTGGCTCTGGAGTTAGAACATGAGCGAGGGAAGCTCACTGGCCTTGGACAGTCCAACGCAGCTTTGCGGGAGCACAACAGCATCCTGGAGACTGCACTCGCCAAGAGGGAAGCAGATCTGGTGCAGCTGAATCTACAGGTGCTCAGATCCATCTGCCAGGAGCAGTAGGAGAGTTATATGCTCTGTGTGCATTGTGATGTCTCATCACATCGAGTCATTGCCACTTTTAGGGGAACACTATACCCCTTTAGGAGGAAGCAGAGGCTTAGAGGAACCTGGCCATTGCTCAAACCTGGATCCCCCTAGCTGTAGGGTAGAGCTGGGCTCTGTGTGTAAATTTGAGCTCACTGTGCCAGGTTCATTATTCCCCTTTGCACGGTGGCTCCTGGTGGGACAGGTCAGACAGTTCTCCAGTTGTAAGTGGGAACCTATGCAGCAGACACTTGCCTTAAGACCTCAGAACTGGAATGTGAACCCCGCCTGCAGTTTCGTTGTAGACCTCTTAGTTCCTTAGGTTCTGCAGTGCTTGGAAGGCAGCTCTGAAGGTTTCAGAATGGCATTCTAAGGGCCATGTCACATCTAAGCCATGAATTACGTAGTTTTGGGGAGAGTTTTAAAATGTAGTTAGCTTACATTTTGCCCTAGTTAACACCACTCTTGTTCTTGTTGGGCTGCCTTGCATGTGTTTGTATCCCATGATTAATGTGCACCGTTCTTTTAGGTTCTCAGTTGAATTCTTTTATTTATTTTTTATTTTTTGGTCTTTTTGAGACAGTCTACCTGTAGCCATAGCTTGCCTGGAACTCACTATGTAGATTAAGCTGACCTTGAACTCACAGAGATTTAAATTTTTAAAAAATATTTTGTGTATGAGTGTGTTGCCTTCATCATTGTAAGTCTACCCATGTAGTACAATACCTGTGGAGGCCAAAAGAGGGCATTAGGTCCCCTGGAACTAGAGGTATAGATGTTCGTTAGTCACCATGTGAGTGCTGGGAGCTGAACCTAGGTCCTCTATAAGAGCAGCCAGTGTTCTTAACCAATGAGCCATCTCTCCAGCCCCATCAGCTGTATCTGTCCAGCCCCATCAGCTGTATTCTTAAATGTGGCCATATAACCACACTCTTATGAAGCTCAGACTTCTGTATTTGTTTGTTTAATTAATTTTCGAGACAGAAATCATATACCCCTGGCTGGCCTCAGTCTCAGTACATAGCCAAGGATGACCTTAAACTTTTGATCCACTTACCTCCAAGTCCTGGAATTATAGGCATGTACTATGATATCTGGTTTTTAGTATTGTTTTGTTGTTGTTGTTATTTTTATTTTTTATTTATGTGAATGAGTATAATGCCTGTATGTATGTAAATGTACCCATATTGTACAAAGACTGCAGAGGCCAGAAGGGGGCTTAAGGTCCCCTAGAACTGGAGTTACAGACAATTGTTAGCTGCCATGTGAATGCTGAGAATCAAACCAGGGTCTTCTGGAAGAACAGCAAATGGTCTTAACCACTGAGCCATCTCTCCAGCCCCTAGTATTGTTTTGTTTTATGCAGTGGTGGAGGTGAGGGCTTTATGCATACTAGGCAATCACTCTTATCGACTGAGCTAACTCCTGAGCCCAGATGGGCTTCCCACCTTCCCTAGTTTGTTCCTTTTTCTATGATGGCATCATGATATGCTCCATCATACTGGACTCTCCATGGGTACTAGCTGTAGGGGACCCCAGTGTTTGGAATTGACATCTCTTCTTACTCATCCTTTCACAATGCAACATAGGTCCAGGCAGTTTTGCAGCGCAAAGAGGAGGAGGATCGCCAGATGAAGCAACTTGTCCAGGCTTTACAAGCTTCATTAGAGAAGGAAAAGATGGAAGTAAACAGCCTTAAGGAGCAGGTATGTGGCCAGCTTCAAATTTGTAGGGCCTTCTGGGAGGTGTTTCAGTGTCTACAACTATATGGGTGCCCTTCTCATCTGAGTTTTTTTTCTGGGGACTGGTTATTGCTGAGAACCCAACATTTTTTCTCCATAGAAAGTGGCATTAGATTATAAGACAATGTAGCAATGTGGGCCTTGGGAGGGGCAGACTGAACCACCCATGTTTGTGCACATTAGTTTTTGCTTGGAAAAGATATCCTCTGTAATGTTTTAAAAGAACACTTCCCATTTGTGTCAAGAAGCAGACAAGCTGGTCATGGTGGCATGCTGCTGTAATCCCAGCACTCAGGAGGCTGAGGCAGGAGGGTCCTGAGCTTAAAGCCAGCCTGGGCTATATGTAGTGAGCTTGAGGCTAGCCTAAGCTATATATCAATACCTTGTCTTGTCCCAAAACAGACAAGAAAGATGGCTATGTACAGCTTTTTTTAATATAGAGAGCTGTCTTTATTGCTAGCTTCTTTCCTTCCATATCCCAGTTTTCGATGATTCATCAGGTAAATCACTGAAGCAGAGGCCTGCGTTGTCCTCTGTGCGCTCCATACCAGGTTTCATTCTGTATACTTTCTCCTCTCTTAGAATGCGAGCTTCCTGCTGACACCTCCAGTACCATGCTCCAGGCCACAGCCATGGGCATGTTTATATCCTGTTGTTTATGTGCACACAGGTTTTCATTTCTGTAGCCCCAGCTGGCCTGGAACTCACTATGTAGATCAGGCTGGCCTTGAACTTACAGAGATCCACCTGCCTCTGCCTCCTAAGTGCTGGGACTACAGGCATGCACCACCATACCCGGCTCCCTTTTCTTTTTTAAAAATATTATGTGTTTTTCCTGCATGTATGAAGTGTGCCACATGTGTGTCTTGTACCTGAGGAAGCCAGAAGATGGCATTGAATTCTCTTAGAACTGAAGTTATTGATGGGTGTGAGCTGCCCATGTGGGTGCTAGGAACTACCTTGGCCCTCTGAAAGAGTAGTAACTGCTCTTAACCACTGAGCCATTTCTCCAGCCCTAACTTTAAACTATTGATTTTCCACCTCCCAAGTACTGGGTTTACAGGTGCGTGCAAAAATTTTTAGCTTTAAAAAAAATTTTTTTTTGGTCCTTTTGAGACAGCGTGTCCCTGTAGCCCCAGCTTACCTGGTACTCACTATGTAGACCAGGCTGGCCTTGAACTCATAGAGATCCACCTGCTTCTGCCTCCATCCTCTCCTGGGATTAAAGGTGTATACCACCATACCTGGCCTAAAACATTTTTTTCATTACTCTGTGTGATGTGTGTGATGTTATGTAGACCATGACACACATGGGAAGGTCAGAGAACACCTTTGTGGAGTCAATGCTCTCCTTCCTCCTTTACATGGGTCCCAGGGATTGAGCTCAGATAATCAGCTGAGCCATCTTGCTGGCCCAGCCCAGAAATTTTTTTTTAACTTTTTTTTTAATTTTTATTTTATGTGTATGAATATATTGCCTGCATATATATAAGTGCACCCATGTCATGAAATACCCATGGATGTGAGAGGAGGGCATTAGATCCCCTGGAGTTACAGATGGTTAGTCGTCATATAGATTCTGGGAATCTAACCCAGGTCCTCTGAGAGAGCAGTCAGTGCTTTTAACCACTGAGCCAACTCTCCAGCCTCCAGAAATTTTTTAAAATAAAAATAATTTTAACATTTGGTAGACATTTTTTAGTATAAACAATTATTGGCCGGGCATGATACGTCACACCTATAATCCCAGCACTTAGGAGGCAGAGGCAGGGGGATCTCTGTGAGTTCAAAGCTGGTCTACATAGTGAGTTCCAGGCCAGCTGGGGCTACAGGGAGACCCTGTCTCAAAAAGACCAAAAAAAAAAAGAAACACCCACAACAATTATTGTTTTGTTCAGGGTCCACATTTTCTTATCTGAGTAGATGTCCAGCTCTTGCTTGGAGATAGTAGCTGATAAAGGGTTCTTTGCTGATGTAAGCAACCTACCTTCTGTCCCTCAAATCTGTCACTTGCTCTGTGATTAGATTAGATATCACTTTGTTTTATTCTTACCTTAAAAGAAGGCATAAGTAGGGAATTTATAACTAAAAATGCTGGGAAAATGATATGTATATGACTTTGATATCTTTTTTCTAAGTTGTGAATGATGCTTAGTTTTTTTGTTTGTTTGTTTTTTTGTCTTTTTGGGACAGGGTCTCCTTGTAGCCCCAACTGTCCTGGAACTTGCTAGGTAGACCAGGCTGGCCTTGAACTCACAGAGATCCACCTGCCTCTGCCACCCCAGTGCTGGGATTAAAGGTGTGTGCTACCACACCCAGCAGTTTTTTTTTTTTTTTTAAATCATGAGTACATCTAGTCCTGATTTTGACACTAGTACTTGATAGTAAAATATTTTTGTTTTAGCCCCAAGAATATTTGAAGAACCATTTTTGTTTTGTCTGTGTGGCAGTTTTACTAGTTTGAAAAGCAGTCATTTTAATGAAAACAACAACAACAAATCTGTCACAGAATTTTTAGACATATTAAAGTTTAATGGGGAGATAAAATGATGCATAGATCACCTTGAATCACTATCTAATGATGTCACTGTTGATACCTTTTTTTTCTTTTGTCTCCCTTCTCCCCCTCGAAGCACTGAGGGTTGAGCCCTAGGCCTCTTCATGTGCTAGGCAAGCACTCTACCACTGAACCAAATGCCAACTGGTGGTTGTTGCTTTAACTGATGTCTTAGTTTGTTCTTCATTGCTGTGACAAAACACTCTGACCAGTATCAACTTGGGGAGGAAAGGGTTTATTTGTCTTACATCTCCCAGGTCACACGTAGTTCATCAGGGAGCCCAAGGTGGGAACTCAGGGCAGGAACTTGGAGGCAGGAGCTGGAGCACAGGCCATGGAGGAACGCTGCTTACAGGCTTGCTCCCTTGGCTCCTGCTCAGCCTGCTTTCTTATGCAACACAGGCCCACCTGCCCAGGGGTGGCACCACCCACAGTGGGCTGGGCCCTCCCACATTACTCATCAAGAAGATGCCCTTCAGACATTGCCACAGGCCAGTCCAATAGAGGCAATTCCTCGATTGAGGCTCCCTCAACCCAGGTGTGTCAAGTTGACACTAAAGCTATCCAGCACAACTGATATGCCTAAATTATTTTAAAAGGATTTTTGTTATGCTCTCAAGAATTTGTCTTTTTGGAAATCTTGAGAGAATCTATTGTTGACTCTGAAAAGCAACATGTGTCCAGAAAAGATGCCATTTTTATCATAAATAGAATTACATTTTTACAGAGGAATTAAAAGAATTATGAATAAACTTACTTATGAATAAACAGATATACTTGAGGAATATAAAAGCTATTTAAACTAAGAAAATTGTGAATAAATTTGTCCATTCAACAGCATCTGGTAACCACATATCACTAGCCCACCATGTGCTGGAACTTGGTCTTAAAAGGAAAATACAGAGAAGCAGACAGGTCCTTTGTGGGGTTAGAAGGGCTTCAATGATGGTACTTGGTGTTCCATCAAGGTGTGGCATTTCATGATGTACTTCATATGTGAGTAATGTCAACTCCTTCCTTTCTTTTAGGTGTCTGCTGCCAGGGCAGAAGCTGGCCATAACCGCCGTCACTTTAAGGCAGCCACATTGGAGCTGAGTGAGGTGAAAAAGGAACTGCAGGCCAAGGAGCACCTGGTACAGACACTGCAGGCTGAGGCGGATGAGCTCCAGTGAGTGCCTGGTGCTTGCATGAGGGCTGGTCATGGTGGGCTTGATGGCTACTTGCCGTATAGCACATCAGAGCTGTTAGGGCTGCTCTTCATCTTTAATTCCTATTAAACATAGCATCAAGGGTCATCTGTCTCTTCAGGTTGCTAAGTACTTTCAGGGCAAGTCAGAGGAACAGAATTATCTGACTCCTGTCTCAGGAAGCCTGAGCTTCACCCTGACCCTAGCCCTTCCTCAACTTCTTCCTGGAACAGAAAGAGCCCTCATGTGAGCACTCACCCCAGGACTGTCCTGGATACTCAGAGATTCACACTAGTGTAGCATCAAATCAGACATGTGGAGGGTGCTGGGTAGATCTAGACTGTACATACATCCTTACAGCAGCCCCAAAGACCTCTGTTTATTGTATGCCACAGTGTTGTCTGACAGCATCCTAATCTGAGTTGTGTGAATAGAGTGAGTCTTCCAGGGGGCATACAGGGCTTTACAGGGTTGGTAGAGATAGAGCATTGGGAGCTCCTTGCAGTGTCCACACAACTAATGGCAAAGAGTCAGGATCTCACCATGGACAGCCTGGGAGAACAAATTGGGAGGATGCTGTCCTTTTATTTTTAACCTTTTGCCCCCTTTTCCTTTCATGCCAGGATTCAAGAGGGCAAGCATTCCCAAGAAGTAGCGCAGTTCCAAGCTGAGCTAGCAGAGGCTCGGACCCGGCTCCATCTCCTACAGAAACAGCTGGATGAGCAGCTGGGCCAGCAGCCCACAGGGAGCCAAGAGGTGACAGTTATGCTCCTGCTGGCCTATCTGATCAGAGAGAATTTTTTTTTCTTATGTGATACTACAAAGATTAATTCCTTACAGCCAGGATAAAGACTTTAAAACTATCTTTGTCATGTGCCTTCTGTCCCTTTTAGATGGAAAATCTCAAATGGGAGTTGGACCAGAAAGAGCGAGAAATTCAGTCCCTGAAGCAGCAGCTTGACATGATGGAGCAACAGGGCAAGAAAGAACTAGAGGGAACACAGCAGACATTGCAGGTGGGTGCTATCCCTCTCTGGGGCCTTGGTTGGAGGGGGTGCAGGCTCTGTCTCCAGGCTCTAGGCAGCACTCCAAAAGGTGTAGTGATTGACCATTAGTCCTTGGCTACTATACTGAATACCTTCTGGGCAGAGTGTTTCACATACGAGAAGTTCTCATTTAATTGGTTCACCACCACCACCTATGATCTGAAGACATCGTCCCCATTTCAGAATGAGGCTCAACCTGGTCCAGGTTACACAGCTGCATGGAGAAGGAACTGAAACAAGCCTAAATCATGTCCCTCTGCTAAGCTATGTGATGTGTATCAGGAGCATACAATTTATAGGTCTAGTAAACAGAAGGGTGCTTATATAACGTGTGCTAGCTTGTTCTTAAATTGTCCATGAAGATTCAAATGTATTGAGTGCTTGCTATGCAAGAAAAGGATCAGAAACATAATTTGCTAATGTTCCTCACTTGTGAATAAATGACTCAAGTCATTTAGATTGGTTTAGACTATTTCTTAGGAATGGTTTGACTTACTCTAATAGCTGACTTTTTTTTCACTCTTTTTGAGACAGGGTCTCCCTGTAGCCCCAGCTGTCCTGGAACTCACTATGTAAACCAGGCTGGCCTTGAACTCACAGAGCTCTACCTGCCTCTGCCTCCCAAGTGCTGGGATTAAAGGTGTGCACCACCACACCTGACTAATAGCTGACTTTTAGAATTTAAAGATCCCCGGGATTGGGGATTTTTGTTGTTGTTGTTGTTGATTATTTTTTGATAGGGTCTCCTCGGTCACAGCCTGCCTGGAAGTCATGGTGTGAACCAGGGGGGCCTTGATCTCAGAGATCACTTGCCTCTCTCTTCAAAGGGCTGGGATTAAAAGCACACACCATCATGTCCAGTTTGTTTAAGATCTTTTAGCTTTTAAAAATCTGCATTGCTTTCCTTAGACTATCAAGTCTGAGTTGGAGATGGTACAGGAAGATCTGTCTATGACACAGAAGGATAAATTTATGCTTCAAGCTAAGGTATCTGAACTGAAAAACAACATGAAGACTCTGCTTCAGCAGAACCAGCAGCTCAAGCTGGATCTCCGCCGTGGTGCAGCAAAGGTGAGATTTAGGTTGCATCCCTTACAGGTTAACTGTCTTCCTTCTTTAGATTTGTTTGGACAGGAGAGTGATAGTCATTCTAGTCATTCATACATGAACAAATACATTTAACCAATGCCAGACAACTCCTGCAAAATTAAACCCTCATGGAAGATTCTGCTTAGACAGTGTGCCAAAACTTTAGTTTGGTACCTTTTCCAGTAGAATGTTTGCTGCTTTTCATGAATGCAAATATCATACTCTTTTTAAACCAAATGAGAGCACAGCCATAGTAGGACACAGTGGCTTCAGGGTGGGCTCAGGTGGGAGCCTCATACTATTATCAGTTCTGCTCAAGTGTTTCCATACCTGGCAGATTTTCTATGCACGATCTACATAAATATTGCATAATTTCATAGGAAAGCTCAGGATGTAGACTTTGGTCTTACAAGCTCCTGAAGAAACCTGTAGTTTAATGTCCAACTGTTTCTCCTGAAGGCCAGGCACAGGTGGTTTGTGTGTAGCTCTGTGCATTAGGAGTAAGGCTATTGAACCAGCCAGTATCTCTTGAACCTAGTGACTATCAGACTATGTTTATAGTTCAGGCAATCCAGTCCCCTTCTCTGGGGGCACATCTGACTCAGTTGTCATAGTGGAGACTGAGGGAGGTATAGAGGAACTAATGATGTGCTTTTACAAACAGAAGAAGGAGCCAAAAGGTGAGTCCAGCTCCTCCAGCCCTGCGACACCCATCAAGATCCCTGACTGCCCTGTCCCAGCTTCACTGTTAGAGGAACTGCTGAGGCCCCCGCCTGCTGTGAGCAAGGAGCCCCTCAAGAACCTGAACAGCTGTTTGCAGCAGCTCAAGTATGATCTGTTTTTTGTGCTACATTTTGTTAAGCCTTTAAGCATGGATGACATGTTTTTCTGGGGAGTGTTTCTTCTATGGCCTGTAGAGTGTTTGTGGCATTGGAGCTCTTGTAAGGTGAAAATTACTGAGAAAATCTTTGGTTTTTAATTTATTGTTATTTTATATGTATTAGTGTTTTGCCTGCTTGTATATAAGTGTACCTGTGCCATGCAATGCCCACAGAGATCAGAAGGCATCATATTCTCTGGATCTGGACTTAAAGTTGGATGTTAGCTACCGTGCGGGTGTAAGGTTTCTGCAAGAGTAGCCAGTGCTCTTAGCCCATCTCTCTAGCCCCTGAGTAAACTTTCTTGGTGGGTCCTTAAAAGGCCAGTTGAACCTCCTGGCCTAAGACAGAATCATGGATTGTGGCCATGTGGAACCCTGATGGGCAGGTGACCCCATGAGTGGAAGTCACACAGAAACTTAGCATCAGGCCTTTAGGTCTGTGTCTTTCTCACACTCCTGGTAGAAGCATCTCTCTGAAAACAGAATCCTATGCCAGGTGGCTTACTAGCTTCTGACCAGAGCAGAGGAAAATGCCAGGAGCCCTGGCCTTCTGTGATTACAGCTATGACTTTTTGCTGGTCATTATAGATTTATTGGTCTTTGAAGGAACGACACATGCTGGTGAGCCTACTGCATTCACTGTAGCTTGTTAGAGAGAGCTGTGGTTAGTGGTTCTGTCTGGGCCTTACATGATTTAGGATTTCTTCTTCCTTCTCTCATTTCCCCAGGCAGGAGATGGACAGTCTGCAGCGCCAAATGGAGGAGCATACCATCACTGTGCACGAATCCCTGTCCTCATGGGCTCAGGTGGACTCTGCACCAGGAGACCGTGCTCACCCCAGGGGAGACACAAAGCCACATAGTCAAAGCAGTGCTCCCAGAGAAGGGCTGGGCCAGTAACTGTTGCTGTCCTCACAACCAAGTATATGTGGCTGCTGAAGGATGTTCTTTTGTCAATATTATTTATTTGATTGTGTGTTCTGTTTTTCTGAAGAGATGTTTATTTTAAAGTTTCACTTTTGCCTTTTAACAAGGAGTAAAATAACTGATGAAAGGCAAAGATTAAAGAAATAGTCATTTTTGAAACCACAACTAGCTTTTCCCATGAAATGACCAAATCTTAGAAACATAGTTTAGATCTCTAGTGAATTCTGAATGTCTCTGTTACTTGGGTTATTTGTAGAAGCAAGCATCTTATGAGTGGCCATAGACACTGGTCTCTGAGGGTGTTTCCAGCAGCCAGTTCTTGGTGGGAACTATGCACAGTAGGGCCAGCAGGCATCAGCACTGAGACAAGGTCAAGGTGCAATTTTTCACCTTCCAATTCTACTCAATAAGAATTTTTATTTGCACCTTTCACTTTTTATTTCACTTTTTTTCAAACATAGGATGTATATTATAAATATTGAAAATCTTTAAAAGCATATACCTATATTTAATTATTTAAAGATCTGATTGTCTTATTGTCTTTTGAAAGTTTGCTATTGGGAAAACAGTATACATGTAGGATTGAGGGATGTCCAGTCAAAAAATTATATTTTAAGAACTATAATTTATTTACTGTACCTTCTAAAACCAAATACTCCTGCACAGAAAGGTTCTTTGTTTTAGTTTTAGTCTTTCTTTCTGATGGTCTTTCCTGCCAGCATCTCCATGAATTCACAACACTGACCTCTCATGCCTATGGCCTTATGTAGTCCCACTGACCAACAGGCAAGAGAAGGTCAAGCCTGGTAGCTACTAGGAGATGCAAGGACCCCAAGGTCTCCAAACACTGACCTGACATTTAGAGAGCACAGGGGAAGGAGAATAGGAAAGGTGGCAGCCCCAGTCTGTGTGTACATAGCAAGCCAACCCTGTGGGCCAAAGGTAGTTTACCAGAGACTGAATGTCTGTTTGCATGATCATCAGGAGCTGCCCTGGATCTCTGTTGGATAGTGATGTCGCTTAGAGTTAGAATGATATCTGGAAGAAAGCAAGGAGCTATGGTCCCCTGAGAGACAGGAAGCTCAGAAACATGCCCTTTTTAAAGTCAGCACTAACAATGTGAGATTGTAATGGGATCTGCTTCCCAATTAATATACTTAAGACTGTATATGCTGACTGACTAGAAGAGTTGATGTCTCTAAGCTTTCCCCAAGTTTTTTAATATAATCTAAAATTAGCTGGGTGTGGTGACTCATGCCCGTAATTCCAACTCTTAAGAAGCTGAGGCAGCCAGATCATCGACAAGCTGGAGATCATCCTGGGATACATAGTGAGACTCTGTCTCAAAAATTGGGGGATGGGAGCATGGTGAATGCTTGTGATCCCAGCATATAGGAGGCAGAGACAGGAGGAGCATTTCAAGGCCAGTTTCAGCTACAAAGGAAGTTTGAGGCAAGCCTGGGTTACATGAAACCCTGACTCAAAACAAGCAAACAAACCAAAATCTAAAATAATAATAATATTCTTAGAAGGGAAGGGAGAGAAAGGAAGCCAAATGGCCTCCTGGCAAGCTGCTAGTCTGAAAAACAAAGTTCTGATTGTTAGTGATCAGTCCAGGTCAGTGTCTTTCTGTAGATTTCTGTTTTGTGGAGAATCAGTATAGAATTTTTAAGCTGTGTTTTCTTGGAATACACAATTAGAAGGTTAATTGATATGGTTAAAGTAGCATTAATCACAAAGATGTTTAGTGTTTAAAAAATATTCCCTAGTGAATATTGGGGACTTTTACAATGTATATATCATTTGTACAGGGTTAATCTTAAGTAATACTTGAAAATTCATTATAAATAATATGCTTTTTATCTCTAAGTTGAAAATTGTTTTTGATAATTTTTTACCATTAGAAAAGAGAGAGATGGTAGCTGGGCAACGTGGCACATGCCTTTAATCCAAGCACTTGGGATGCAGAGGCAGGCAAATATCTGTGAGGCCAGCCTAGTCTTCTACATAGTGAGTTCCAGAACCGCTGGGGCTACAGGGAGACTCTGTCTCAAAAAGACCAAAAAAGAAAAGAGAGGTGGTAGCTTATGTTCTTATTTATTTTGGTTGTACTTTAGTTTTAAAACCAAGAAATAGTATGTGGGTTTATTCTGCAGCAGAGTTTTGTTCTCCTTTGCTGAGAGGTCTTCGAGTGATGTTGATTGTATTTTCTCTTAGGAAAGGATAAGCTAATTCTGAACTGGTTCAAGTGAAAGCTGGTCTCTTGTCTTCATCCCCTCTTTCACTTTGCTGTCCCAAGTGTGTATGTACATCCTCAGAAATGGCACTTCCTTTAGGCTTTGTTGTCTTCATATGCAGGATCCCTGGCTAGGTCTGTCTTGGTTCCATGAAGGGCCTGGCATGCCTTGGCTCCAGCTTCTGTCCATCTGAGTGTGCCAAGGTCTTTATGCACATGTGTATTCAGAGGACTCATACTGGAGCTGACATTGCTTTAGGGTTCCTTAGGTCACCTTGAAGTTTGATTTTTTTTTTTTTTTTAAGTATCCTGCTTTTGATTGAAGGTGTTTTTTATTTTGTTTTGCTTTTCCTGTCTCCAGGGGACTCCACTGTACTTCTACCTCCCAGAGCTAGATTCTTCAGCAAATACAGCTGGAATTACTATTGCCTTTGTGGGCAGAACTGGGAATTGTGGGATTTGCTCATGAAAAACTGCAGTCGGGTCTGGAGGATTACTTTATAAGATAGGTAACCATTACATATCATATGTGTACACACACACACACAAACACACTATGTCATATTCTATGCCTGACACCTTAGCTTGAGCACTTCATCATTACTTGTTTTTATGGTAAGAGTTATTGCCATGTGACTTCCATTACTTTTTTCATGATGCCTGTCAGAAAGATGCTATAGATCTTAGGTTTTTATACCTTTGCAACAGGATTTGTTTATCAGAGGATGCGAAACTGACTAATCAAGCCTGGGGTACAGGGAACAGGACCTGCCCTCTCAGAAGACAGTTTTAGTGCACTGCATTAGAAAACTTGTGTTAAACTCTTCTTCTAAAAACTTTTCCTGGTATACTGTATGCAGTTATACTGGGATACTGCAAAAGCCATGATCCTATAGAGTCACCATGACATATATTTTCCTAATTCTTTAAGCAAAATTTAGGTGTTATATGTAAAGATTTTGGTAGTGAAAGGGAAAAGTCCTGGCGCCTTCTAAGGACCCCAGTAATGTGAATAATGCTGTGGGATGAGAAATTCTGAATCTTATCCTGACATGCTCAGTGATTTGGAATTCCAGGCAAATCTTAGTCTTTGGTGGTCTCAGGTTCTGATAGGATCCGTGGGTTGGTAGCCAAAATTTCAGTGGTTTTTGAGTTTCTCATTTCTATCAAAAACTTGCTTCATCAGAGTCAGTCCTCAGGTCACGGCTTTCCAGGGAAAAGTGTCATCACAGACTGTAACTTTAAAAAGCATGTTGATTTTTTTTATGAATATAAGTGTGCTTGGGAATTCCTTAAATTTTGTGCAATAAACTATTTTTTGGTAAAGGTTTTCATATTTCATTGGGGGGGTTCATTTTAGTACTAACATTTTGTTACATTTGGGAGTAACTTTTTAATCTCATGTTACCCTCTTTTAAAAGAGATTTCTGTTGTACAAAAGTTTGAGGAACGATAGGAAGATTAGGTTCTTGTTGCATTATACTAGCAGGAGAAGCATGTTAACTAGTTCTCTACATTGGTCTGCATCCACCATTGCCATGGGCAAGCAGCACACATTCAGAAGCATGAGCAAGGAGGCAGAGGATGTCAGAAACCTGTCTCTTCAGTGTTCCTGAGCTGCTGGTCTCTGTTGGGTTAATTTTGATAATGTGAATTGTGACCCTCATATCTCAGCACTTGACTCTGATTTCTTGTTTTCATGTAACCTTCATTTTTGATAATTGGATTAGCCAGGGCCTGGTTTTCAACTAAATATTATTAATAAGCCACACGGTTTAAAGTAATGTGGAAAAGGAAATGAGCTAAAGGATTTGGCTTTGGTTTCATTTCTCTCCCTATAGCTTCACATTACAAGATGCTGCAACCAAGGGTCCAGTGGTTATTATACCAACTAAGTGAAAATTCCCTGACCACCTTTTGTGACCTTAACCTGAAATATTGAAGATTGTCTGCAGTAACCATTTAGTGGGCTTATGCATCTGAACATTTTCCTTTTCTCTATTAAATGTCTAAGCATTTTGCAGGATAGTTGGCAGGCATATTTTTATGCTGTGTATGTCTGTTTCATCCTCTTACAAGACTGGCTTTGACATGGATTATAGACAGTTGTGGTATGGCTCAAGAGTAGGGAAACTAAAGGGAAACTCATTATTTGAAAGTAACTTACTTCAGTCAGAAACCTGATACTGCATGCTGTATTAGGAAGCAGATTCTGAGGGAGCTATAAAATAGATTATATATACTCCTTTTGTCCATGATGGGTAATCACTGTTAGTCTACAGGAATCCCCAAGTATAAGTAAGGAGGAATTCATAGCCATATGGAGCACCTACAGTCAGTGGAACTCTCCTTAGACCCTTCATGTGTGTCTGCATTTGGCACTGATGATGCATATTTCAAGTGTGCTTTGACAAAAGCTCTCTTCCTGGAAGCAACAGGCAAAATTAAACTGTTGCTGAGCATCTATGCAATTTGCTCTATTACCTGTTGTCCACCTTTGCCTTTTAACTATGCACTATCTCTACATCTACAACTCTAACTATGGTATGAACCTGGCCCCAACACACACTGGCTGGTGACTTCCATAGGCTATTTGTGTTCATCCATTGTTGGACTGTAGTTAGTTCAACTAGGAAGATGGCACCTTCCAGTGTGCACAATGTTTAACAGCCTGGATTCAAGAAGTGCTTCCTCTTCCTAACAGTCAGATACCCCAGCACCTCCTAGGGTGGGGGTAGCTCTGCAGACAGCACCAGGGATGCACACCTTTTATCCCT